AATTCGTTCACGTCTTCTTCAAACGGTTTCTATACTCAGATCCAGATAATCCAATAGAAATAAATCAGACCATTATCTTTGATCACTAATTGTAATGATGGATTGGTTGCAGTAATCAATTCTACATTTTTTCCAAGACGAACATTGCTGCGTGGGGTTATCTCCACTAAAGTCATTCTCAGTTAACAACTTTATGATCCTGAACGAATAATTCGCTGCGATTCCAAAAAGACTATGAGAATATCACTCGAAGCATTTTACGATAAGAAACCAGTTTTAATATGTATAGCCGGATCCACTCCGAATGGCCTTCTCATTGAGCCGGATCTTTATGAATTCATCATTCGCGATTTCATACTGAAATGCTAAAAAGGATTGCCCCATATCCCTCTCGATAACCCCTCCCCCTATCCTCGCTATTTCTCACCCCATCGAAATGAAGAGAACTGTCGAGACCCCAAGTCTTTCAATTTCAAGGTTCTATTCAATCCTAAAAATTGATTGAACCCGCGAAAACCCCATAACCACCCAAGTCTTAACAAGTTCCTTAATCAAACCACGTTCCATACCCCAAACCCTCATCATCTTCTCACTTAATCCATCGAATCCACCTCCCTAATCACAAAACTTTTGCCTCTAAAATTCCCAAAGCCCCACGACTCTCCACACGCACACATCCCTCTGCACTTCAGCCAATTCGATATTGGAATTCGATCAAATCCTCTATCACCCTTATCCCAATGTTTTTTTTTCTTCACCCCTCCTCTCTTTAGCCACCCACCCACCTCTTTTCCACCTCCCTCCCACAACCCCCCGTGGCAGATCGAATTCTTCCGGCTCAAATGACATGTCGTCGAGTTTACTAGCCCTCTGTGCCACCTCCTACAATCCTCCCTTCTCCCATTTATAAACAACCCCCTCCGGTGCTGCAACTTGAGTACCAGCGAAAAGCACATGGGGAGAACTTTACGCAAATGCGTATGTGTAGTGCTGTATCTTCACCCCCGTATAACCACCCCCAGACGATATTGCCTCGGTATATAGTCACGTTTGTTCGTAAATTCAGGTGCGTCCAGGGGGCGTTTGTACTCAGGGTGAATTTATACTGCGACGATAACACGTGCATTCTATGGTACGTCGCTATTCGTCGAAAAAACTATTACCGAAACAATATATGAGGCAAGGAAAGCTGGGGCTGGATGGAGATATAACTGTTAGTGTGGGAAATTGGGATTTTATCATTTCGAAGCGAGAGATAATGGGAGAAAATCAAATATGATTTTGAAGAATTATAATTGAAATTTTAAGTTTAAGTTTTTTGGATTTTTTATTATGACAAAGTAATGCGAAATTTCTGGAGAATTCTTTATTGACGAATTAGTTCGTTTCTTGAATGATATGTTAATTCTCAAGTTTTAGGTTCAATGATATTTAAAATCCCTGGGGCGTTTTTTCAATATATTAGAAATTTTATTGTATTTGATGCGGAATTTTTACGGTTATCATGACTATTTGGTCTTTCATTGCGAAATTAATTATCATTCAATATAAAATCAATTAGTCTTCTTAAATCGTTAAGATGAATAAAGAATTTGTGGCTGCCAACTCCCATTAACTCAAATGTCTCATTAATTGTGAAATTGAAGGAAAGATTCGATTAAAATTACCGGAAATGTTATTTTTATTTCGAAATTCCCAATTTTATGAAACTTCAGAAGAGACAATCAGATGAATTGATCAATACTGATTCATTTATTACCGGAAGTTCAAGAAATCCCCGTATATATAGTCTAATATTAAATTATTCAGAAAGCCAGCTCATTTTGATACTGAATATTCATATTCAATAGGCCATCCAAGTAAGTTATGAAACTTTTCTCTTACTCCCACATGAAACTACTTTAATTCATCTAAATTCTGCACAAAACCTGGAACTCCATCATTCCTCATAATTTCAAACCGAATCAGCGAAGATTCATTCCAAAAATTCCACCAAATTTTCCATAAAAATAAACTATCCAACCCGTAATAAAATCTGGAGCTTACTGCTTTCCTCGCCTCAAATGCTTTGAAACCCGAAAATAATTAAATAAATCCAGAAATGAAAGGAAAAAAGTGTCATCTCTTCCGAGGGCAAAAAGCAATAAAAGCAGCGAAAAATAATCTTTCTTCAAAGGCAGTGAAAATACCTCATAAGACAAATGTTATCACCCGTAAGATTTAAGGGGCACCCTAATTGCCTCGGTAGGTGTGTACGTCCTAATTTAGTTGTGCCAGGGGATGGGTAAAAACGTGGATCAACGCCTTCCCCAAGAAGAAAAGAAGATAGGGCAGACGAGAATATGGAGTAGGAATCCCTCAGAGGCGTCGTCATGACACATGAGCCTTTTGGTGTAAAGATTTTCTCATTGCGAGGGGACGAATATCTTCTTAATACTGAAAGCACGAAGAAGCCTTGGTAATTGGCACTGAGGTGGGGTAGGGTTCATTGCCGTGTGGCTTCAGCATTAGGGTGAGGTTGGGATGGACGATGGCGAACCTTAACGGCCTCTCTTCACTTTTACCCCTCCAACCTCTTCCTACTTCCTACCCTTAAAGCACATCCAAGTCTCAGGGACACATCTTATTTACGTTAGTTAGGGTTTGTTGGCGCAACCACCCTTGGGGCCATTCCCTTTCCGCATCACGTTCTGTCCCTATCTTTGTGGGTTACGGTGGTACATCTAGAACTTCAAAACTATTCCCAATGATTCTGGATAAATAGATTACAAGCAAAATGAAATATTAGGGAGAGAAAATGGTGGCATAAAAAAGTTGCAGTCTTTCAACCCCTCTGATGGTTCTTGGCTCTTGGTAAATATGCTTTTTACCACCTCTTTGACCTTTTTCGGGATGACACTCGGTTTTTGGTACTTTACAAAGGGAGGGATTACGCCATCTTGCCGTTGATTGAAGTTCAATATTTGATGTCATGGTATAGTTTCTGAGTTGTTCGTCATCTTGTTCAGAATGTGGTCGGTCGTAAGTTGGGCTAACTTTGATAACTCCAAGTTTATGTTGTATAGTTTAGGTGGAATTGATTACGCATCATTTCAGGGGAGTCGATGATTGGTATCACAAGTTATGTTTCTGGGGGTTTGTCAGGTTTGTCGGCTCCAGTTGACAATCGATTCTGATCCGCTCATTTTTCTCGGGTTGAAGTTTATTGAAGGTTTTTGCAATAAAGGAGATAGCAACTCTCGATGCAAAATTTTTCTCTTGATTTTATCAGATCTCCTTGATTTATCGATCATGGAATTAGCTCAGACTTCATGAAATTTTGAAGGCTAAATGAATTTATCAGATTGTGAAATTGTTTCGATCACGCATCGAATATTATTATAATCATCGGTAGAAACAATTTTTAATGAATTTGCTATTCAATTTGAATTTTCAACAATTTCTTCGGTGCCACGTGGACTTGTAAATTGATAATTACCAGAAAACTAAAGAAATTAACTAAATCATGAATAAATAATCCTGCAACAATTTCATATCAATCACTATGCCATTGTTAAAGCTTTCAGTGCTTTGCACCTGAAATTTTAATTTTTCAATTGTAACAAAATAACTTGTCGTCAATTGAAAATTCGAATTCTCCGAGAGCATCTTCCAAGCATCCCCATGTTACTTATCACTTCCCCCACACGAAACTTACGATAACTCGAATAACTCTCAATGCCAAAACGTTAGAAATCCTAAACGAGACTACCCCATTTGCCAGTGCGGTCCACCGCACAAATTAACTTCGACTGACTCAGGTGCAATTAGCAAAGTTGCTGAGTCTGTGGGCTTTGCATGTTGCTTCAACCGTATGCTGTATCCACGTCCCTAAAAAGGAACTACTGTCGGTTAGCATCATGATTCTCAGTTACCCCAAAGTACTTCCGATATATCTGGATTAATTAACAGATCCAAGTTTTTGTGGACTGCGAGAGCAACAGATGATGCTGCTCTGTCGTAATTTGTTGGTTGGAAGATTCCCACGGAAGAGGATCAAGTTGTCCCACGTTTTGGCTTGGCTTTATGATTAGTGTAGATGGTTCCGCGTTTAGACCCTATAATTTCAACACAAAAGAATGTTTTCATTACGTTCTTTGGTTCAATTGAGACAATTTTTCAATTTGAATCATTTGTGGTATTAATTCCTAACAATTGAACAGATTTTGCATCATTAAATAATTAATCATGATTGATTTGCTAGATCGAGGGGTCTGTTGGGCCTTATACCGGTTAACTATCAAAAAATATTTCATTATTGATTAGATTGACGTGAAAAATCACCGTTTTCTCATTTTCTCATTATTTCCAAAAATCCATAAAACTTTAGAATAAACCTAAAAATTATTGTGCACTCGTGAAACTTTGTTTGTCATGAAATAATTATAAATGTTTATTTTCTCGGGTTAATCACACCAATTTATCAGATAATTTATAAAAATCGGCAATTTCGGCTAACGGGTAGCAGGGGGCAGGGGGCAGGGGGCAATATTTTTAACAACCTTCAAACAAAATTGATAACAATTTTGTTCTATCATTTTTATAATTCAGTTGCGTCAATTACGCACTTTGCAATGACAAAATTAATCGACTTAATTGCTATTTCCTGTTGACTCTCGTCACCCATTCTATCTCTCCATTTGCTGACGTTGACAGGCCCCTGCACTCTCCCCCACGCAGTTTACCCGCAATGTTTGGTCTAGTCCTATCTCACTGTAGTTTCCACGTCATGTCATGACGGTTGATCTCGAGAATGACCAGACCCTCCGGCTCCTTCTGCTTTTCAATCCTGTGTTTCGTTGTCTATAGAGAGCAGACCAATACTCTGACAGAGAGACATAGCACGTAGCTAATTAATTAATTAATAATACGAGCATAGAGGAAGTTTTGAGCAATTTGTGCAATTTTCATTGGATGAATGTCTTTACTGATGGTGAATTTTTTTTTTACTCTCATTGCAGCTCACACCAGTGGACAGTTTTTGGAGATTTTACCATCTGGAGATTCCCAGTCAAGACCAACTGGAAGTAGGCTTATGCTAACGTGTAAACCGACTGGCGCTGATCCGAATATTGTTACTAATCTTCAATGGTTGGATCCATTTAATAGAGCTATCGAGTCTCGAAGGTAAAAATTTGAGAATTTTAATACGAAAATCGGAGAGATTATTTCAGTTAAACAAATATTGAAACTATTTGCAACAGAGAGGAATGTAAAAATGGCCATTCTTCAATTTTCAATACATTAATGGATATTGATGATTTATTGAGAGAACAATTTTTTTTGTTTCGGTTCTATGAAATCTGTTCAGTCGATTTTCGATTTTTAGAGAAGGACCATTTTTTATTGTTTCTCATTGAATTAACTATCAATTTTGTTTAATGGACAACTAGATGAAGTTTCACATTATATCATAAATTATAGAAACATTATATCACAGACATCAAAAAACATAACACACAGTTTCAATATTTCGTTCTGCTATTTTTTTCACATGAGCACAGGACGACGAGTGAAAATCCAATCAATTACACTCTGTTATACTCAACAAGATATTCACAACAGCACAAATTCCCAGCACATGATTGTTAACGTATTTTTTCTCCACTTTCTTGTTTTTTGCACACAGTCTCAGTGTCGTGGCGATCGAGAGGCGAGTATGAAAAAAGAGAACAATGAGCAAACCGAATAGAGACTAACATCGATCGATATATCGTAGTGTTTTTTCCTCTTCTTTTTTTAACGCGATTTTCTGGTGAGTGGTAAACTAATGGATCTGTATCGTTAAAAATATTTTTGTAAAATATCTCTCACGTAAGATATTTGTCAAAAATACACAGTCCTAGACAGCGAGGACAGATTCATTGATTTATTATCGCCACATAAACTCTCATAGATATTTCTGTCGCCCGATGTATTTGCATCTCAGTCTTGAAAAATCTGGAAAATATGTCGCTATTTTATTTTATTCTAACAGAATGAAGTGGTGAAATAGGCAAGGGGAAGGGTTTCGTCCATGCGATTTGAAAATAAAAATGTGAAAGATCCTTTTTCGTAATGTCTGCACAAAATTTTTTTGCTCCAGTAGAAAGTTTCGACAGAAATATGAAAAAAAATTACTCAACATTTAAATAACCAAATTATTATATATACAGAGAACTTCATAATTATTTTCGTAAGAAAGATTTTTGAAGGCGAATGACATTTGTTGTAAGCCATAAACTCCTGGGCATACCTCCTTTCACCACTTCGCTACTGATTTTATTGCTTAGATTATAATTTGCTTGTCGACTCCGCTGCTAAACACAATCTTCAATTCCACTTATTTTAATTTATTCACTTTAATAGAGAAGTTATAAAATGGAATGATTCAGATTCTGAAATTACTGAGATATCTGAAAACTTCGAAATTTCATCGTTTCCCTAATTTTATGGCTTAACTACTGAATTTTTGTCTCCAATCATCATTTTTTATTTTTTTCAGCTTTTAAAATTAAGTTACGTAATTTTGAGTGGTAGTTTAGTCTATTCTCTTCTTCATATTCACTCATATTCACTCATATTCCCTCATATGCACTCATATTCTCCCCTGAAACATAATAATTCACCGAAAAAACTTCACCACAAAATCCACACGTTCACGCACTCACATTGGGATACAGTTCGTTCCCGAGAAGTAAATTAAAAAAAAAAATATCCGAAAAGACAAAAGCATTTTCTCTCTTTCGCCGCATAAATTAGCGATTCCTTTCACGTTTTCAGCGGCGTCATTTCACCAGTGAGTACTCACGTAAAAAAAAAAGAGAAAGGGACGATTCGAGTTCTAACTATTTTCTCATTCACACCCAACCCATCAAATATCCAATTGCCATTCTAGACAAGTGCGAACAAAAGACGTCTGCAAATGTTTCTTCAATCTCTTCTTTTTTTTTGGGCGAAAGAAAAATTCCCATTCATGTCTCATCGAATCGTCTCGAGAACTTTATCTGAAATCAAATCACGCCTCATCATTCTCTCATGGGATTGTCTCTGCATTCACGTTCTGTCATCGTTCGTCTCATTATCTTTTCTTCTTATTTGTAGTGAACGAAATGATGACATTAAATCACTAATCATGTGTTTTGTCGGTGTCGCGGATTAATTAAGGGATGAATTGGTAAAAGGCAACGAAACGCCAAACGATTTTTCAAGTCGATTCTGACTATTGATCAGTTTTTAACGAAAATCTCAAAATCTAAGACAGACAGTGAAATTTTTCTTATGACCTTTTTTAGAAATCTAATTAATATCTACAAAAAAGCTCTTTATAAAAATTTTGTTTTTATCTCTAATTTCCGAGATATTCCTGAATAACTTCCTGACGAGGCGCGTTGACTCATAAATCTGTGAAATAAATAAAACAAGTCAAAACTGATTTTGAAAGCGATTTTCGCCAAAGAAATTTGTAGGAACTTTGTCCATTGAAAGTATTCCATTTGCAAAGTAATGGCTGAATTTTTGCAAACTTTTTCTACCAATTCTCCCAAAATTGATCTACTGAAATGCATTAATTAAACCGTGAGGCTTGTTAGTATTAATGTTATAAACTGCAATATTTCTAACAGCACGTTCCAATCAAAATCTGGTTCATCCACACCCGGTTTGTACACCGAGCTGCATCCGGACGCGAGTTTGTCACTCGTGTTCAATCCACTGAGGGAAGAACAGGCTGGAACGTATACCTGTTCGGCGAATTACGCTAATGAACCGTTCAATAAATCGGTTCAAGTTGTTGCTATTGGTACGTATGATTACAATGTAATTACTGCTAGAAAATAAATCCCATCCGCCTACCAATAATAAAAAAAAATAATCACCCAACGGGAGCGGAAAAACGAAAGAAAAGAGGGAACAAATTTAACGAGTAAAAAATCCCCCGCAGATTGTTACCTCCATTTTTTCCAATTTATTTAATCAAATTGCATTCGCCTAAGTAAATTTACAAACTCTGATATTTTTTTTGCTGGCATTAAAAAAGAACGAGCCGGATGCATAAAACTAGTTGAATATTTTCATTAGCAATATATTCAGATCGACAAAAGGGAGCTTTTCCATCTGCGAAGAAGAGTTGAACAGCGGAATGAATGACTCGTCAATAAAATTTTCCCTTCAGTCCATCTGATTGAATATTGATAATTGAATAACTCCTTTTAATACTCCTTTAATAGAGAACGACAAAATATTTTCTGCTGATCATTCAATCCTCTACAGAGACATTCCCCTCACTGACAGGAGTTTCTTTATCATCTTGTGACGGTTAAATTTCAATAGATTTCAATAAAGACCCCAAAATTATTTGTCCTCCAGACGCCTTGAAATGGGTAGACGCCCCGCAGCATCAATACGCGATTCTCAACGAGGAAACCAAGATAAAATGCCACGTTACAGCCCGGCCAGCGCCAACAGTAACTTGGTTGAAAGACGATTTACCGATTATCACGAACGACCACTATATCGTGGAAACTCACGCCCTGACCATTTCCAACGTTCAAATGGAAGACCAAGGTGTCTACACTTGTCAAGCCGCGGTAGTCATAACGGGGCAATTCGACGAACGCAAAATCTCCGTAGAAGTTCACGAGAAGCCAAAGATCGAGGAAAGACAATCACAAGTAGAAATCGTAGAAGGCAAGACAGAGACGATAATCTGTAAGGCTCGAGGCATTCCACCCCCTCGTTACTCATGGGTTAAATCCCTCACCAAAGAAAACCTGACATCAGTCGATCGCTTCAGAGTGGACTCCGAGGAAGGAATTTTGACCATCAATAACGTAAATCGCGAGGATGCTGGGGAATATCAGTGTATCGCTGTGAATGCAGCTGGCACTGCGAATTTAGATATCCGAGTTGATGTAATGTCAAAGCCGAAGATCATGGAATTCCTGAACCGAACGATGCCAGTGGGTAAACCGGTGGAAATCACGTGTAAAGCATTTGGTCGTCCTCCACCAGACGTTACATTCAGGAAACATACCTCTCTGAAACCCTTCGTCAAGGGTCTCCAACCTGATGATGACAGAATCCAACTGACAACCATTCCGGACAATCAGAGAGGCGAGACTGTTGCTAGTTTGAGTATTCACAGTGTTCTCAGGAAGGACGATGGATTGTACGAATGTATTGCCACCAACAAAGTTGCCACTGCTTACAAGAGTGGACATTTGACTTCTGAATTCCCTCCGTCATTCGAATCCATGGAGAATCAGACGATATGGTCGTGGGAGCAGAGGCCTGTCAATCTTACTTGCATCGCTGAGAGTATTCCCAATGCCACCATCAGGTGGATGTTGAATGATAAGGAGATCGAGAGGTTGGATATTGGAAAGTCGTTCAGAATTATTGGGAATGGACCCATCAGCACACTCACTGTTGTACCTAATGATATAAGATTCTATGGTAATTACAAGTGCGTTGCAAGCAATATTCATGGGAAACGGGAGAGGCTTATTGAGCTGAGGGAAGCTGGTAAACCTGGAATTGTTCTCGAATCCAGAATGGCTACGGTGACTGCTACCAGTATTTCATTTACTCTTATTCTACCACCTACTGAACCGGAACTTCCGCTACAAACGGTCACTGTTCAGTATAAGGAGCCTAGACAGATGTGGCAGGATGCGAAGAATAAGACCTGGTCTATAAGTAAGTTTTTTATTGTCATTTTTCACATTTCTCGATGGTTGATACATTCATATTTTTCTTTGAATTTCGGTATGAAATTTCAATGGATTTCACGGGAAACTTTATCTTTGGCTCGATGTAATTCTGAGGCAACTTCACGCCATGCTATGGGTTAACTCCAGAATTGTGCATGAAGTGAGAATTAATTAATTACTTTGAAAGTGGAGGAAACTCGCGATGTTTTTTCTTTTGTGGAAAATGAGAAATTATTAATTCACGTAATGAATTTCCTTGACTCAAATTTCTCGCCTGCATACGGAATTTTATTAAAGAGATCCCTTATTCACCTTTACTACATGAACGAGTCATAATGAAATTCTTTTAATTATGACTTTGATTTTTTAAAATTGTGAGTAATTCTACAAAAACGAAAAATGTGGAGAAAATTATCCTCAACAAACAGCTGGAAAAATGATTTTAAAAATTTGAGAAATAGTTTTTTAATTCCTTGAATGGCTAAAAAAAAGTCCATCAATTTCCGAGAAGACGAGGGTCAGTGGTCGACTCATTTGATGTGTAATACCACAAATATAAGTAATCAATATGCATGAGAATCCGTGGGCAATGAATATCAATGAGTTTTAATCAATTATTCCAATCCGACGCGATTCATTCCAACGCGGACTTTAATTTCAAAAGGCGAAGTAAAGTTTGCCACAAAATGAATTATAAACTCACACAATTCTCGTCTTTCTTCCCATTCCAGACTCATCATACGTCCTAGAGAACTTGAAAGCCGAGACGAACTATGAATTTAGATTCCGAGTGCGTAATCAGGTAGGAGAGAGTAACTGGGGTGGAAATCTCGTGGAGACGACACCTCAGCGTACAATTCCAGCAGCACCAAAAATGAAAATGCGAAAGGACAATGGAAATTACGACGAGTCACTCTATGCACATCAGTACGAAGTCACATGGATTGAACCATCGGACAATGGTGAGCCCATCGAGGAGTACGACATTCGCTGGTGTGAGGTGACACGAATAGGCGATAAATTCGAGGTGCTCGATGGTACATGCAAAAATGAACCACTCAAGGGACTCAGGCCGAAGCACTGGCTGAGGAATCTCAAACCGGATGCCTTCTATCGGGCTGATGTCAGGGCCCGCAATATCATCGGCTTCGGAGATCCTGGTTTCGTCCTTTTCAAAACAGCACCAGGTGAGTCATTAAAAAAATCCACTCCAACAATTTTTCAGGACATTTTTTACTTTCAATTATTTCGTTAGATTAGAAGCCTGCAGACCATTCGGTGTAATTTCTTTATGTTAATATCATTTTTTTTTTTCGATCAACATTTCGATCTTTTTTCGCTTCAGTTTTTATTTTTATTTTTATTTATTTTTTTCGTTTTCTTGAGCATCGTCACTCGGTCAAGAATTTTGTAGAATTAACTTTAGGTAATCCAGTTTATTTCGTTAGTTAGATTTTACATAGTCTTTGATACTCAAGGAAACATTTTTTCATGATAGAGGCACGCGACTTATTTTCTGGTTTTAAGCAATCGTGGATGTATAACCCCCCACATAATTTTTCTTTCACGAGGAATCAAATTCTGGGGTTTTACCGAGACCATTTGGTACTAATTGAAGAATTCTAGGAGAAGTGGTTGAATACCTTTTTTGTTGGAGAGTTTTGCAGAAAAAATTACTTCATGTTTTTTTTTATCGTTGAATTACGTGCTAATGATTTCAAGAGTAGAAGTGGTTGAACTTTTTTATTGCCATTTTTTTACTAGTAAAAGACGTCTCTTGGCACTTTCTCTTGAGCAAATTTCTTGAGAAGAGTAATCAACATAAAAATTTTAATATTTAGCCTAACGTTTTTCCCAACTTAATTAGTGAATCATTCTCTTTGAAAATTGATCTTAAAATTATTATACGTCTGTGCTTACTGTGATAGCTGATCATTAACCCAAGAATTTGTTTTTCCTCGTGTTTAAAAAGAGAACAAAGAGTCACGTTTATTTTTTTACCATTCAGAATCAACCAGCAGCACTACGGACTACTCGATAGTATCTGCTGGGGATACTGCCAAGCCAGTCCTTCATGCAATTGTCACGGCTATTGCGTTAATCTCATTAGTGTTCTAGAATTGATGTTCAATCAATATGGGGGAAAATGCATAAACAACAGTTTGAAACATTGTACACTTAACAGAAACCTCTCGAACAAATTCGCTTCAAGTGAAGAAGACACTTATACATCGACAGAGTACAATTTATCAGTTGTGTTGCGATTGGAATGGTAAAACGACAATTTAAAAAAATTGCAAATCAACACTTACTCTATTTTTTTTTAAGAAAAAAGTTTCAGGGAAAATGCGTGAAAACTTTTTCTGTAGACTTTTCTCAGTGAGAATTTTGTTTTACACTAAACAAATTCCAGATCTTATGACATTTTTGGACCGATGCTCTTTTACCATTTCCCTTCAGATTCAATAACCCTCATCACAATATAATGTCGAGTGGAGTGAGTTGATTACGTTCCACACAAACCAACACTAAAGATAAATGTAAAGTAGGATTAATTAGGATGGTGCGTTAATTACATTCCGATAACCCGTGGATAGAAGAAATTCCATACAAAGTATTTCGGGGGATAAGTGAAATTAACATGAGTCGATGTTTTTTCGATAAAATATTGGTGATCAGTAAAAAAAATACTGCGTCACTGTATTTGTACTAATTAAAATTGTTGAATGCTCATCGTTTAAAAAAAAAAGCCAAACGTACTGGTACGTTACTTTCGTCTTTGGTATTTTCATCTGCAACCCTGAATAAATTCTTGCACATTCAATTGCTGATTATCTCCCTGTGAAACTCGTCGCGGCGACGAAATAACGAAATTTTATCGTACCACGAGTGGTGAAAAATCATTAATCATTGGGATAAAATATTCAGTTGTTGCCTTGCATTGCTAAAAATGCCTGATTGCTTATTGTTACTTTATTGGCAACGTGACAATATTTTTTATAAATAATTATACACTCGAAGCGAGATTCAACGACGTAGACTTAAGAACCAACGATTCTTTTTTTTTTGTTAATTATCATTTTGTTTGGGATTTTAATTATCCTGATTCTGGTTCTGTTGATAAATCATTTGCATGGTTCGAAAATTCGTTTCTATCGGACAATAAGATATGAATGTTTTTAGATTATTTTTATTCTATTATTTGTACACTGTTAGACCAAAGTCGTCTGTGCTAATTTCACGGTGTATTTTCGATTTTTTTTTTTATATTGGAATGTTGTACAGACTATTCGATACAGTGTACAGACATTTAATGCTGATGGGATTCACTCCAATGCAGTGTTTTTGTTGTTGAAGAGGAGGGGCAGAATTAAATTTTCAAATTGCAAATTATTTCAGTCGAATCTCAAAAAAATTATTCCACTTTGAAGTATTTTTTTTTCTCATCTTCCCGTTGGAAGATGGAACTAAATTCCTCCAGAATATATTAAATATGGAGGAATCATCTATTTTGCCCTCTCCTTTTCTACTTTTTCTGAATTATCTTTTGGGGATTACTAGTTTGCTTGATTAGTTCAAACGAAATTACTAGAATAAGAAACATAAACATGAGTGTTTAGTGCGCATGATCTGTGAGTAATGAATATCAATTATGTTTAATTAATTATTTAGTTTTAACTAGACCCTATGATTTAGTTTATTTTTACATTATCATTCATCAATTTCATTGATAGACAGAGAGAATTACTGATAATAATTTAATGAAATCCGAGCTCTTCATTATTTTTATCTAGTTGAATAGTTGCTAATAACGAGGGGTGAAATCTGCATTGAAGATTTAATTTTCCATAATTAACAATAATAATTATGGAATCAAAATTTCATTCATTAGGTAACCGAACTCAGATAAAATATCAATTTTTTTTTTCAATTTTTTCTCAATTTCACTCGTTACCGAAATAAAACCATAATTACCACTTCAATGCAGAGCAATTTGCATGGCAGGTGCATTACCACAATTATTTTATCACTTTCTAATCATCGGCGATTGATTAATCGAAAAAATTGGATGATTCGTCGCGGCGAGTCGCCGTGTGCCCAGTGACAATAAATAATCGCCTAAAAAGATGAATAATAATTATTTCAACATTAAACTCAGCGAAAAGTAAATGCCAACAGCTAATATTCATCTTTTCACTCGATTCACCTACAGATGCATTGATAAAATTCACAGTACCGACTAAACAGAGTGAAAAAATTTGGTTAATAAATATGAATAAAAGACTCGGCGTATGCATTTAGCGATGGCGACGGGGTGGTTTGTTTATTGCGGCGTTTCGCGCAATTACAGTCAAACGGGGTAACTGAGGAAGTAGTATACGATATAAAGAGTGGAAAGTAGAAAAAACAGGAGTGAACAAAACCAGATGAGAGAGATGAAGAGGGAAAAACGAGGAGAAGGGTTGAAAGGGTTTTGCGTTCATACTGGGGAAGCGTTCGCGCGTTTGACAATGGCCGATATTTTTTTCATCCCTAAACCACCCTCTCCCCCAGCACCTCCCACCCACCCATTAATGACGACGAAGAGGTAGAACAAACAGAGAGCCAAGAAAAGTGTAAAAAACATTGCGGAATCCCAGTTTCTATGACTATTTCAATTTTTTTTACCCTCGTTTCCTCGTTCTGCAGTTTCGATTGTTTTCTACCACAATGAAAAATCCACTAGGACTCGGTCCATTCTGTGTACATCGCCGTACGTTACTTTTACGTGTATAAATAGTCGTATCCAATTTTAGAAGTGGAGTAGAAACGATTTAAAAGAGTCTTGGCACTGGGGGGTATTATCCTCGGTCTAATTGTCATATGTAATTACTTCATCCGTTAAATTGATTCAATTGCAGAATTGATGGGCTGGTGGTGGGGGAGGGGGGCACGTGTGAAATCCAATTATCTGGATATTTTTAAATCGGCAGAATGGAGGTGTTTCATTGTTTTCGCATTGATTGCGAAATATTTTTCAGCTGAAAAAATCAAGAAAATCGTGATTTTTTTGCATTGTTCATTTCAGAGCTTATCACTACACTTGTTCATCAATTTCGAATGTTTAACGATTTTCGTAATAAAACGCAATTGATGTATATTTTTGGGAGAGAATAGATTAGTGTTTTTCATTTATAAATTTCCTTGTCGAGAAAATGGAAATTCCGTCATCTCCGCTAGACTCAATGATATTCTCCAAGAATGAAGTTGCCCTCAGAAATATTATCATCACTCGAATTGTCAGATTTAATGACAGCCTCATTAACTAACTCCCTCCACGTCAATGAATCCCTCCTGAAATGATCCCTTCGCAGGGTGAAAAGGTCTTTCTCCCCTTCGTATTACATTCAACCTTTGATCCCTAACGATATTAATACTTCTTCAAGAAAAATAATACCGTCAAAGAAAAAAAAAGGAAATGTTAAAGAACCACCAAAAGACCAACTCAACCCTTTTCACCGTTTTAATCTCATCTTGATAGGACACCGCATATGCATCCATTCAGAAGAGAAAAAGAGAAAAGAAAAAAAGTCGTCGTTCATAATATCCATAATTTTTATTTTATTTCTCCTCTGTAACTCAAGCCTATACATAAATATTATTATACATTTAGATGTTATGTATGTATGCATAAAGGTGTTTTTTTAAAAAAAAAACGCTCTTATTTATGAGAATGAGGGTTACATTTTGAAGATTGTTTTCTCAGTCCTATTTTCCTCTTTCATGTTCATGAGAAAGAAAACCATAAGACATTATATTATTGTACATACATTAACAACGATAAAAGAAAAAAAGATAAATATACAATGAGTGTCAAAAAGTGCACGATGTTATCGCCAGTGAAGAAGCCAATTTCAAATTGTTTAACCAACAAACAATTTTCTCCAATATCTGGCTTGCATAAGGCGTCTCCATCCCAGCCGATAAAATGCCCGTAAAACCGATGAAAAAAAAAATATAAAAAAAATTGTTTTCATTCAATTTGAGATGGTTTCTTTTCATGGCTGTCTCGCTTATTTTTTGCTTGTCCATTAAGTCGTCAGGGGGGAATATAAACCCTTCAGTGAACAAGCAGCATAGAGAAAAAAATTGAAAAAACAAAAAACTGGATAAATAACAGAGAGAAAAATTGAGAAAAATGGTAAATATACAATCACACAAATGGAAGAATTGTTGTTGTGTGGCCCATCACATCTGGACTGGAGATGATTCATGAATAATAAACAATAATATCGATAATAATGGTCCTGGGAGATATATACATGGGATTAAGTAAAATGGGTAGACAAAATTACATTAAATAAATTGTTATGTAGAGTAGTTGCCGGATAGACTAACAGTAAATATCGAGAGGAAATGGTGCTGTCTGGGCTTCTTTAACATTTTATTGATTATTTATTGCTACTGCACTGTATTCATGCTTCGTACATTTTTGCACTGTAATCATGCCTCGACTGTGTTAATTATTTTCATTGGATTGTTTTATGCTGATTCTTATTCTCGTTTTAATTACGTTCATTAACTGTGGCGCACTAATACTTTATCGTAATCGGGTGATTGATTTAGTTGTGCTTTATGTAAATAAGAACGGATTCTTCCATTTCCCAATAAACCCTTTCCTTTTCAGGTATTAATAATCACTGAGTTTATGTTTGGTGGTGTTCTATTATACTTGTGCATTACGTTGTAGTCAGGAAGATGAGATAAATGTACCAGTACGTTTTATGATTTTTCGGAAGTTTAGAGGATTTATTTTGAGAGCCGATTATTGTGTTTCCAGTGAATGCTACGCTGTTTTGTGCATTTGCATATTTTTGGATTTGATAAACAATTATTATATATTATTTTGTGTATACGATTCAGATGTCATTGAATAATTCATAGTTTTCAGGAGTTTTTTCAAGTGCTTCGTGAACTTTGAAGATTCATGTGTTAATCCTTTCAAATAATTCTATTTTGGTTCTCCTATTGAAATAGAATGAATTACGCAAGAGTAAGAACTACTTCTACACAAGTGTTGGACACATGTGTATCAGTTGTTCAGTCACCGATAATTACGGAATATTAGAATAAATTTCGGGGAGAATGAGATAAACCTGAGGTTTTTTGGAATTATAATTATTGTAAATACATGCGGATTTTTTCAAAAATAATTTCTCGTTCTTTCCTGAATAATTCTATAGGAATTGGTGAAGATGGAGTCTAATGTGAAAAACAATTGCGAATGAATGTGCAAAATTCCTAAAATCTCTCCCGAATTTTCCAAATGGCCGTTTGCAATTTAAATTAATTCAGAAAATAGATTTCAGCAGTAACAATTGTTTATGCAATAGTAAAGGCTATTATTTTGTATGCGTACAATTTGTGCGTACTATGAAAATGTGCGAGTGTTCAAAACAGCGATATCATCCTCAAAAATAGTTCTCCTTAGTGGATCACCACCAAATATGTTTTAATATCGCTTATCCGCACTAACAATCTATGCGAAATGATCTCTCAATTATTTCGATAACTTAAATTCGCTTTTTTCTTTTATTTTTCAAGCAAATCCATCGAAACCCGAATTCTACAATCATGAGATCTCGAGTGCTGCTGTTATTGGAATAGTCGTTGCAATTCTCATCATCATAATCCTAATTATCGATGTTATTTGCTGTTGCGCACATAAAACAGGTGAGTGATGGGAATGGCAATGAGTAATTATTGTTTCGAGTTGTGTTTGCTGACTCATGGAATTCCGATGAATATTTGCAGGTATTATCTTCTACGTGTGCGAACGATCACGAAGGAAACCCGTCGATGAGGAGGACGCGAAACTCGGCAGGTGAGTCACCAGATTTTTTTTATTCATTTCAATAAATTTTCCGTTCTGAGTGACCGTTAATCTCGATTTTTGGAGTTTATCAATTCGATATTTTACATAAACATTGAAGGACGTTTTGTTGTACAATCTGAAACTGATGACACACATGAACATCAATACATACGAAAACATGCTTTTGCCAAGGCGCTATTTCATGAAGTCATACAGAGAATCAACATTTTATTTTGTTATAAAAATTTTCATTTGACGAAAAATTTACCTCTGAATTCTCTAGAGATCCTGGAATATCTGTACATTCACATCTATTCATTACGGAGTCTTTTGAACATTCTGTTTTCTCAATACAATTTTTAATTGGATAACAAATGAAAATGAGAAATATATAAACAATAGTGTAATTTAACGATATCACAGGATTTTCAAACATCAACTTCATATTTTCCAATATTTTTTTTCTATTGTTAAACCTGAGAAAACATCATTCTGAATCAAGGGAAACAGTCGTTTAGTTCCATATGTAGATTCTGTCTTTCTACTGCATATTTTCTCTTTTAAATGTGAAAATAAATCTTGATATTTCATCGTATTCTGAGAATATAAAAATTTTAGTAGAAGAGTGGTAAAATGCTTTACGTTAGTATTATTTTTACGATGGGTTTCTCAGTCACGAATAACAGTTCGAGAAAATATAGAATGACATTTCTGTATACAGTAGAATCTCGTTACAGTCGCACCTCTCCTCAATTTCATTTTTCGCATATCTTTCGGTTTACCCATTCTCCTAGCTCCAGGTTACAAAATCCAAACAATCAGCGAGGAATTGCATTTTGTGAAAAATAAAGTTCTTTCGTATTTGAATTTCCTATGAAACAATTCAATTCACAATTGCATCGAGCGCGTGCTCGTGGGGTAGTTCCCTATAGTCCGAATTCGCTTCCCCTACAGCCCCATGCACGCAGGGATATAATTTTCTTATGATTTTCAGAAAGTTCTTTATTTTTCGCATTAATAATTAATCTCAGTGAACCGCAAAGAGAGATATTACATGAAAATAGATCATACCCTTCTATATTACCATTTTAATTCCCCTACAATACATAATTTCATAAAAAAATAGCAAATCGTTTTTCAACGACGTTTTTCACGCGACTATAACGAGAGTCTGCTGTGAACTCATTCAATGAGGAGTAATGAAAAAAAATAGTAATAGTAAAAAAATAATATTTCCGTATTGTCCGCTCTGATCACTGAATATCAATACTATCAGTGATTACAATCCCTGTTTTTTATGATTTTTATTGAAAATCCATTTTCCAGTGAATTTCTATTTGCACATAAAGATATCTATTTCGAGGTACATTCGCAGTTTCCAATCATCAGTTTGATGTTTTCCTCGGATCATTTCACCACTTCACTACTGAAATAAAGATTTACGTTTCGATTCATCCCATAAAATGGACTAGAAACATTTAATTTGTGGTACGTTAGTCCTCCATCATTGGGTTTTCGTCTACATGATATAATTTACTGCTATCCCCATTTAATTTACCATAAAAAAATTTGTTTCCTTTTCTCTTTTCACCGATGTTTATAGTCTTTACGGTTGGCGGTTCCCATTGCCGTATTGCGACCAAAAAATGGCCAATGTGGCCGGTGTAACGGCCATCCAAGAATCGGGTAGTGGAAAGAATACCATTAAGCTGGTCAAACATACCTCCATGTAAGGAAAACCAAGACAGGCTTGAAAAATTGAGAATTCACGTTTTTGAGATTAAAGAAATAAACACACTAAGATGAAAATAAAGAGAGAAGAATAAGAATGAGCATGACTCCATTGGAGCTTCTCTTATAAACAGTGACATGGCTTTCCACTTGGCATGAGAGTACTATTTTACTTTTCTTTTGTGATCTGTTATTTATTTTCATTTATTTTTTTTTTAACGTCCAATTGTCCAGGGGGTGGAAATTTATTTCACTCTACTGTTCTGGAGACTTTCAATTCACTTTGAAATGTCGTTACGAAGGAATCGAGAGCAAAAGGAGGGAAATAATGTAATAATGGAGTCAAGCATGGGAGAGACACTTCGGCGAGACGACTTTTTTTTTATTTCGCCTTCTGTGTGCCGCCAACCATCCACCTGCGATAATTTACAGTCACACATTTTTTTGTACAATTATCGATTCTATTGGGTTTCACCGTCATCGCCATTAACACTGTCTTTTCGCGTTTTCGTCGCCACTCGATTATTCATTGAATAATTTTTCGTAGCTACAAGAAAAAAATATTTGTTGAAGTGAAATGAAGGTTACATTTTTAATAAATAGCATTGGTAATTGAATTTTTATTATCCAAGGAATGAGAAATTTTGGATAAATGTTAAGCCTTTTTGCAATGCAGACGATTTCATGACAGGGTTTCATGCTGAATTCCGTAAGGTCTACTCATTATCAAGTTAATTGGATGAATACAAAACGGTTCATTGAAAAAATTAGGGTTTCGTTAATTATGCTAATTCCTTTCAAAGACACGTGAATTTAGAGAAAAAATAATTGAGGAGCCGTTTCTGAAGGCAATTCAATTCCCAGCAGAAAAGGCTTTTTCTCATTACCGGGATAATAAAGAAAAAGGTGATTACGTAGATTTGTTTTTATCTGTTGTAATATTGATTTAATTGATCAATTCCCTCCAACAAGTATTTTTCTACTGTTAGGCTTGAGCTTTGGCAATGTTGCATGACATCACACTCAAATGGATATAAAACATTAAATTGATGCTTACACGCATCCTGATCGATCAATATCTAGTCATCCAATCACCAGTGAATCCACAAATCGAATCAAATCGATTTTATCTCATCATGGCTTGCAGCGTATCTCGAGATCGGAAGAAGATGGAAAATATTTTCCGAGGTGCTTTATACTAGACAAATTGATTTTGAAGCTACAAAAATATTTCGATTCTGAGATATTAAACGAATCATGAGAAAAGTCGACTTGGCTCGTTTTTATATTTACTATCGCAATCATCAGGTTATAAGCAAAAAATCAGTAATAAAAATTGAATGTTAGCATGTCACGTGATATCGATGTCGTCCTCACGTATTTTATAAATGAATTCTGAATGAAGTACCAATTATCCTAATGAATAATTTCCCATGGAATTACAGAGAGGAGAAAGAGCCATTGAAGGAGGAGAAGAAAATAACTCCAATAATTGATTCTGGTTTGAGACGAGAAACATCGATTACATTCGATGGAAAGCGATCTGTCTCGAAGACCGGCTTCGTCGGCAAGGACTCAGCTGTCTAGATATTCTTCCGGCGTACTAGATTGTAAATTACTCCCCCCCAAATTTCAAGGCCTTTGGAGCTCATCCAAATAGACTTTGAAGAGCCGTGAATCGAAAATATTGATTTTTGAAATATTAATTCACTCAGTATACGAATTACTTTTCAATCTATTTTCGATTGTTGTGACTATTCGCCAACTCCGAATGTGACTATCTGCACCTCCCAGGCAAGAATCACCATCAGGAATGAAATTTATAGATAAATGTTGAAAATCAATGAAAATTCCAAAATTTGAAGAGAAATTATTGACCATTCGGTACAAATTCAGAGTCTCAATCGGCTCTCGAGTGAACATATATCGAAAAATGTATAGGAAAATAATGATTATTTCCCCTAGACATCCCTTTGCTTTCTCAATATTAACTTCATTCTGCTTTTAACACGAATTCAAAAAATCAGTGGCGATATGATAAAGTGGAATACTTTCCGATTGAAGAGCGATAAAATTCTCATGGCGAATTTTTGTGAATGACATGAGAGCTATTAAAATATTCTCACAAAAATCCACTTTTTACATTACATTATTTAGGTATTTATTGAAAATTAGGTGAATATATTTAGTATAAACTTTTACCAGTTGCTGGCGAAAATTTGGTAAAAAAATATTCGTCCATCATTTTTTTAGCGTCTTCCTTGTTTCTCGAAACAACTGTGCGTTTTTTATTGCTTTTAATATAAACGACTGCGATAATTGGTTTCTTCAATTTTATCTAATTGCCACTGAGATAATTATCGTGTATGGATTGTACAGAAGTAGGTGTTTATATCCTTCGGATTACGAATTAGTCGTTGATGGAAAAATATGCTTTCAATAAGCTTTTCTCAGATTCTCCCCCTTTTAGATAATTCGCAATCTAGTACGCTGGATTATTTTATAAGTAATGAAAAAGCGACGTATGAATTTGAAATTCAAAAGTCGAAGGGCTTCTAAAAATCTCGAGCCCTGCGTGTGTGTGTATATATCTATATATACTTTTTCGAAATGAAACAAAAAATATCCCATAAAAGCCAAAATTCATCTCATGCACAAAAAGCGAAAAATCTGCCAATCGATAAAGCTAGTATCATTTCCTTTTGAAGACTGATTCATTTAAGACTATCATGATAATGCCGTCTCATGAATTTGACTTTTCATTGTTTCCCTGAAAAAAAAAAGAATATTTCAATGAATATTAATAACTATTTTACAGTTTTTGATTCAAATATCTTGATGATTTTTTATCAGTGTACTGACGTAATTGTTGTAAATCGTGACATATTTGTTACCGAGTGAACGAAATGATTGAGTAGTTTGTATTTCTTCTCACTCATTTGATTAATAATTATATGAAAAATTTTTTGTTTCACCTATTTCTTCATTTATTATCAAGCCTTACGTACAACATTTTGTGGTGTAATTATCCACTTGGGATAACATCTCGCTTGACATTTTAATAGAAGAATTTGAAAAATCTCTCTACATATTTATGTATAGCAATATGACAAAATAAAATAATCTACAGCAAAGTAATGAAAGCAGTCGAATCCAGAAAAATCGAACAGAAGAAAGAAGACCTGAAATGATAAAAAAAATCGGTTTCCTTTGAAAATGTGCAAAATAATTTGCAATTGCTTTTTGAACTCGTCTATTTTCGGTACTTTGTTACTGAAAAAATTGAATAATATTTACACTTCTGCATTTGCCTCGATCTTCTGAAGGAAAAGGAATATTCAGGGAATGAAAGAAGGGTAATAATACCACTGCCCTGATATATAAAAGGGCTTTTTGCAAAATGCAGTTAAAGAAATGTGATAAGTTTTTGTAAATGCTTGTAAACGTTCTCTCTACCAACTAAGGAAGTATTGAAGTTTTTCCCTTTAGCATAGGCAAACAGTCCTAGTGAATATTTGAGATGGAATAAAGCACATGGCAGCAAGTAGCTTAAAAAGTACGCTCGTTTGATCCAAAAGGTGTCAGTCAATTCACGGAAAAGAATAATTAATGAAGATTGCTGGAAAAATAAAAATGTGAAATATTGGAATCGATTGTGTTCAATCAATTTGTAAAATCAGTTGAATAATTCGAGTTCAATGGGAGAGCGTTCTTTTTGAGCTGTAGCTTTTTTACATAAAATGAGAAAATACATTTTCTGCCAAATATAAGTACTTATTAGCTTAAGAAAAATAATTGAAATAAATGAATAATGTTGTATTTGTTTTATGGAACAGAAGTGTGGTGTTTATATCAAGAAACAATTATCATGAAATAAGTAAATAAAAGAGTTAAAAACAATTTCGAACTAATACGACGAAAATAAGGGAGATGGAAATGGATGGAGTTTAATTTAAGGTGAGTGCAGGCTATTTTATATTTGTTGCCAAAATCTATAACACAAATGGATAAACTAACTCGTATTTATTGATTAAGTAATCATGATGAAACATTTACAGGAAGATAAGAGATGAAATTAATGAATCGACAGAAATTATAATGTATGAGAAGTATTAAGTTGTATCTTCCACAAGATAACATGAAAAACAATGGGAAAATGAAAAAAAAATCTCATTATTAATAAAGGTCTTTAGGTGTAAGGCATATTTTTTAAGTATATGCTTTTTCTGTATTGCGAGGAAAAACAAAGAATAAAAGAATTTGAAAAAATTGTTAATTTATTGAATACAAAGAATTTATTAAAATTGCCTGTTTTGCGCAAGTCTATTTCCTAAGATAATAGAGTATTTAGAATGAAGATAATGAAAGTTCTAAATCCAAGAATCATCATTGGTTCGAGCCAAAGAAAATTTCGAACAATTTGACAATTATTGGAAGGATAAAAGTTGTCAAGTTCCCTAAGTTTTGATTCAAGAATACAACTATCATTTTTGTACTGCAAAATCACAATCTATCAATTTTAAGACTTAACTATTTTACGTTAGAGTAACAAGTCGATTTTTCAAATTAATTATGATGACCTTCAACCAAGAACATAAGTAAGATGAAACACTAATCAGTAATGGAATTTATAAATTTATTGAACATTAAACCAATATCGATATTAACTACCGTAATAATTATATCAATTCTTGAGAATCAGTTCGATTTTCACAATTTCAATGGCACGGAATCAATTTCCTCAAAATTTAAGACTGTACAATATACCTAAAAAGGTCTTCTACAATTTCTATTCATTGAGTTTTTAAATGTTATTATTATTCATATTGGCAGGGACCCTAATGTTTTCTTGAGTTTTGAAGATAAACCAATGCCACGACATAAAAAATAGTGTTGCTCTCTTTTCTTATCTAGTCTTAATCTAGGAAATGGAAGCTCATACTTCGATATCGACATTCGACTTTCTCCCCTTTTTAATCAATAGATTTTCTTCCTTCAAGTGAGATGGTTCAGTTCTCGTGTGCCAGACGTACACCTGGAGATTAAAATCAGCAATTTGAATGATACAGTTGGGCAGACGTACGTATTACCCGATGGAATAGATACGATAAAGGAGTGAATGAAAGTTTCTAGTACCTTTGTACAACAATCAGCCAATGGCTCCAACTGATCCCTCGTGACCATCTGCTCAAGTATCTCGGTCTCCTGATATCCATTTTTCGATTCGTAAGAGAACCATGCATCCTTCTTTTCAAGGATCACTCGTAGATTAATAGCAAAACCTGCCATATCCATGGGAAATTTTCTCTCTGGCTGCCACACAGCATTGAAACCCGTTACTTTCATTGTTGATGCATCACAGATGGGTCGCTCCACCATTAAACCACCGACTAAACCTACTGGCCATACACCAATCACTTTAATCCTTTCCATCTGTAAAAAAAAACGAATCAATTTAATGGAAGTGCACTGCGCACCTAATGGCAATGAGTTGAACATTGACTAACATTTTTTTTCTCTACAGAGTGAAATGTTCCCGATAAATTGATTGAAAGACTTCGAGTAAAATCCTCTCACAAGAATTTCTGTAAGATGTAAAAAAACATTTCTTTGTGATTACAACGTGATTTTAGCAATTCTCAATTCGCGTAATTGCCACATTCCATTATCTGTTACTCATTGCGATTAATCACTCATCCGCATTCAACATCTTGATTTATCATCTCATTGAGGCAAGATTCTGATGGGAATTACCTCGGGGTCATTGTATAGGGAATACTTTAAAGAATTGTCGTTTTGCAAATTTACATTTTTTATTTAAATAATCAGGAAAATTGTTTTCAAGAACATCCAGTAACGAACATTCGAGTTTATCACTTACCTCTTTGAATAATTTGAGTGAGTACGTATTATCGTCATCAGCGAAGTAAACAACAGCGTTTTGACTCGAGTTATAATTTTCCCTCAGCCATTTCAGTGCTTTATTCCTTTGCGCTACTCCCCTCGGTTTTTTCCAATTAGGATCATTTTTGCCTAATTTGAAAGTCCTTGGAGTGACATCGTTGAGGTGTTTATAGATTAGGCCACTTTCGTGGAGGAAATTAGTGACCAATTCTGTTTTGTTGATTGCATCTTCGACGACGATCCAGTAAAAGTTTGGAATGTGCAGGAAGGTCTGCGCCAATCTCGTTAACTCTGCTTTTTGAACGGGTCTAGCGAATGTTGGAGTTATTGCAAATATTGTTGGTGCATTACGGTTGAATATATTTGCTCGGTCCATTAGTGTCATCTGGAGGTTGTCGATTGATTGACCTTGCTCTACTACCGTATTCGCCAGTTGTTCGAGCTTTTCCTCTGCACTTTCCCATTTTAATCTATCGGAGTATACTGTAATGAGATTGTTAATTAGTTCGAATAAAACTACTGATTTATACTGGCGTTATAGAAAAAAGAAGTTAGGAGATCGAAGGAAATTATAAATTTATACGATTTGTTTATAGAATGTTGAATTTATTAAAAAATTGTCGGAAAACGATTCCGCGTTGTGGATTACTGGCACTGTCCAGATATTCATCTCTGCGTGAAAATGAGAACATCTCCCCTCCAACGGATAAGATAAGATAGATAAGATCAATTAGAGATAATAATGATCTTAATATTGATAATGGCCCGTACCGAAAATAGTGGAATTCGAAGAGACATTTCCCCTAAAATAGTTATTTCATGCATAAACTATAATGAGCTGAAAATCGCTCGTTCCATCCCCTTACTGGAATTAATTAATTCAACAGGTATTATTAAACGATTCAATGAAATTTCATAGTTAATTTAATTATAATGGATAAATAAAATTACGAATGAAGCCTTTCACTTATCACGAATTGAATTCAAATTCACCGCTTGATCGTCTATCGATGCAATTGTTACCAAATATAATAAACTTTAAAGAATTTCGTTCGGTGTTGCACAATAACATCTTTTAATTTTTCCCGCTGTCATTCCGGGGAACGCACGCGCAGACTCCGAAATACGCACACCTATGTAAACACGGATTGTGGCGACTAGATGATTTATTAATGACTTACTGACAAGTGTAAAGAATATAAATATCCAGAGGACGACGAAAAGTGGGACACCCCTCGAACAAGCCCACAATGCGGCCCACATGCTGGTGTTTTTGTGTGTTGCACCGCCGATGAGAAAAGCTCTACCTGTCATCCTGCTACACACCACCCTGTCACCGCCATGACACACCAGATACAAAGCCCACTAGGAGCTCGCCACTTCAGTTATAAGGGTCCCATGTGATTCGTAATGTGACTGTCAATTGACCGGACATTTTCTCGGTAATTCATCATCGCTCATGCTGTCTTCATGTTCACAATAGTACACAGCCCAAAAATCCGAAATTCACTGTAAATACGTGTTCTCCAACGTAATTTCCATTTCCAAATGAAAAATCATAAATTTTCAAGTGGAATTACGATTTCAAATTAATAAATTATGAATTTGAAAAGTGTACTTTGGATTTTAATTTCGAGTTCATAGTTTTATCCCGGAATTTACGGAATCGAAGCTCGTAATTCATATTTATTGTCTCGTAATTTAGGAGTGCGAGTTCCGTAATTTACGACTTTGATTTTTGGATGTTTATTCTGCAGAAAAATGTGGGCGAGTGAAATTTTACGTAATCGTTCCGTAATTTTTATCCACTAATGGAAAATCGAGTTTTTCTCATTTATGTAATGAAAATAATCACTCTATTTTCAACTGAGAATCGCAAAATTGTCTGACGATATATGCCAGAGTGCAATAATTATCTTGGAGGACAGGACAAGGAAAGGATAGATGATCTCACTATGAAAGAAATGAGTTGAATATGACCTTGAACTCCTTTCTCCGTCGCAATCAAATGACAAAGGCGATTCGAAGAAATGATTTCGACAATTTCATAATCAAGAATTTTTGATTATCGATGACGAACTTCCCAGAATTTTTGAGAAGTTGGAAATTTGCGTGGAAACAAGTGTTCCGCCGTTTTGGACAAGTCTGAAAATTATTTTAGTAAACGGAACGTCTGCAAGATGGCGACACCTACACGATTTTCCTTCATTCGCGGTTTCAATAAAGAATGAAATACACTACCTAATTGATTGTTCAAATTACGCATCTTGCGATAATTAAAAATCTTTTAAAAAGTGAAATTTAAAATAAATAAGAGTGTTATCAAAACGAAGAGTTCCTCACAAGCTTCATAATTTCAAAAAAAGGAGATCTACTTATCCTCCTGTTATTTAAACCAAAAAATCTAAAAAATATCAATTATTCCATCAATACCTTTACAACAATTGAATTCAAACTTGCATGCAAATTTTTCCACCAATTCGAGATGGCGTCACTTGAGTTGAAATTTTCGCACTTCAACTCAAATGAGAAAACGAAGAGTATCAGCATGATTAAAAAATTGTAATAAATTCTTCAGTTTCAATAATAAAAAATCGTTAAAAGGGATAAATGCCAACTGCCAATTGTCAATTGCCATCCGAGGGTATGGATTGTGATAAAAACAAGGCCTCCAGTTGGGAGATAAAATTCGAACGTGGCAGTTACAATTGTTGTAATTCAATTGCGATTGAGAATCGAAAAGCGACGAACGATATCAGGAGTCGAACAGTCGCCAGTTGGGTTCGTTCAAAGATACACTTTCCCTTTGCCGACAATTATTGCTTATCGACATTCTTCGACTGTCGACATGATCGCAGTTCCAACGTTCATATAACCTCATTCGATAGGCGCGAACACCTGCGCGCCCAAAACGTGTCTTTGTTTACATTAAATTAAAATAACAATTGGCATTTAAAAAATTGTGGGAGTGTGCAGTTTGAAACGGTGGGAAAATGAGTTTTCGCAAGCCCAGGAGAGATTCCGATGTTATTCTCTCAAATTTTAATCATAAGGAGCTGCTCTTCAAGTTTCTTATCATCGGTGATTACGGGGTCGGTGAGTATACGGCATTGAAATCATCGAGATTATTATTGCGGTGGAAATAATCTTGAGGAATTTCTATGATTCTCTTCATTTGAAATTGCAACAGAACCGGTTGTGTCGGCTTTCTGCAATCCTCAGGAGTCGTGACTATGATTATTTATTTTTGTTTCAGGGAAAACTGCCATTGTCAGGAGGTACACGGAAGGTATGATTTTTTTATTTCTTTATTCCCATAAATAGAAATGAAGACGTCTCTGCCAGAGATTTTTGTAATTATATAAGCTTTGGAGAGAAATTATCTTCTGGGTGACTAGTTATCCTCACATTTAATGGCATATCGAAGAAAAGCCTTTAAAAATTCTTTGAGATTTGGGGCTGTAGTAATTCCAATAACATTTTTAGGTTTTATTGTTGGACAGTAGAACGATTTTTCCTCATCTGTTCTAAATTTATTCGAGTCTTAGGTGGGATTTGCATGACATTTGCATGTTAATTCCCTTGTCATCGTCTCAAAATCCTCTGTAATATCGGTTTTAGCTTTTTTTTGACATAATTAAATATTATTAACTGGAGAGCAGTGGTGAGACGATGAAAATTGAATTTATAGATTCAGATTTATGGTTTGCAGGAAAATTCTCGTCCAACTACAAGATCACGATTGGTGCTGATTTTGCGATTAAAACTCTCGACTGGGATCCGCACACAAAAATAAATCTGCAATTATGGTATGTTTATCAAGGATATTAAATTAATAGCTTTTCTGTGACGTTCCGTTAAGGAACGCGGAAGTTGGGGATTAGTTGTCAATAAGCTGATCCGAATTTTCAATGCAGACTGTAAATATTTACGTCAGCGACTTTCCCTTTCCTTGCATTGACCTATTGAATTCCAATTTCTCACAAAGCTTAATGATAAATATTTAATGATGGCTGAAGTTAAATAAACTTAAAACAATCACCACTAAAAATTTTCATCATATCACAGAAAAATTATGTATTTATATATACATTATGTACCTTTTGTTTTAATGTCTGTAAATATTATGCAAATCGTTGAAGATTTTCTTTATGTAATTCTCTCCAAATTTGACAATCAATCATCTTTCATTCTCTCAGGGACATCGCAGGCCATGAGAGATTTGGATATATGACAAGAGTCTACTATAAATACGCGTAAGTCTTCATAAATCAACCATCGATAGCGTCCATTCAACTCTTATCTGTTGCACGTGACACTTTCATTGATAACAATTCTGAGATAGATCTCGCAACTATTTTCTATGGTACTATTGGATTTCTCTTCTCCAGAGTTGCAGCGGCACTAGTCTTCGATATATCTCGAGTTGCAACATTTCAATCCGTTAAGAAGTGGCTGAGCGACCTGCGTGAAAAGGTCACGTTGCAGGACGGTTCTAATATTCCAATAGTACTACTTGCAAACAAATGTGATATTCACCATGCTGCAATACCTACAGAGCAAATAATCAAATTCTGTAAGGAGAATAAAATTGGGAAATGGTTTGTTACGTCGGCTAAAGAAAATATGAATATCGGTGAGTTGAAGATTATTGTAGAAATTATCATCAAATTTGTTATCTTATCCTTAAAATTGCAATTTTCCGTGGATGGAATGAATCATCGATTTATTTTAAAAAAATCTCCGAAAGTTGATGATTGCGACTGATATAAGGGCATGAAATGCGGAAAAGGAGAATTGCTCCCCTCAATTTGTAATGGAGTATTCACGATTCATTGAAAGATCTTTGCCCCTAAAATTGAAAAAAAAAGATAAATCAGTAAACTCAGTCCATGAATCTATTTTCAGACGATGCAATGCACTATCTCGTTGAGAACGTCTTGAAAGCGAAGATAGAAGACGAAATAAGAGACTCGATAAAGCTTCGAGAGACGCCACTTATCACTGACAAAACCGGATGTTGCAGGTCGTGAGAGTGGGGTAAACTTCGACCGATTGGAACATAATCCTTCGCGAATTATGGAACCAACTCAGCACAACACAACATATCAATCAACTGACAATGATTGTCGCCTCCATCCGGCAAATTTATGCCGCAATTCTAAAAATAAATATTCTACTCAAATGTACAAATGTAACTATCACTAACTCGAGAGGAAATAATCGCTTAAAAATTATTTGATAATTTTCAAATGTATATTTTCATGCTTGAATTTTGTACATACACGAGTACCCGTAATTATATGTAAATAGATGTAAAATTCATACGTAAAATAGTTGATAATAAAATCATTCAATATTTACAGGTTCTTTTCTTCTTTGGAATGACCAAGAAATGCAAAAATTAGTCTAGTGAAATCCATTCGTGGACATTTCTCGAAGGAATGACATCAGTTTTAAAATATTCAAGAGTATTTTTGGAGGATATATGATGAACTGGAAGAAATATATTCTAATATTTATCTCTCTACCTCGGTTTTAATATATTAATTTATAAATATCTCGGAAATTCGTCAGTTCACTGTTGGAAAATTACACTCGAAAGTTCAAGTGATAAATTTGATTTTTTTAACAACGATGAAGTGACATGAAATTTCTATAGAATTCTTAATTAATGAATCACTTAATTTTTTAAATAATCAGTAATTCTCAATTTTCAATTGATTTGATGTCGAGTGTTTACGATGAGTCCGAAACTTCAAGCTTACATAGAAAAATGAATTATTAGAAACTTCAAAATAATTGACAAATGAAGTAAACGTTTTTAATTGAAATTGAACAAACTCAATTCAGATGATTTTTCGGTTCCTTTCGACCCAATAAAATTATGCATAACAGTTTAGAACGGTTATCTAATTACGATAAATGAATTAAACAAAATCATTCGTCCTGAAAAAAAATCCTATATAGTAAATACCTCTGAGACTAGTAGGTAAAATCAAAAACTCCTCCAAAGACCTTTCTGTAGTCCATAAAATTCACCACAAAACGAGGACTTATGCAATTTCCCCCACTCATGCCTGAGATATCAAGAAATTAATTGTCAGACGAATTTCTCGCATTATCTCACATCACCGAATAATTAAGGAATGGTAAACACTCATCTTATCACTAAAATCTTCTTGGCACGTATTGTTTCCACATTTTCATGTAGAAAATAATGTAATCACGACTGCTGAATTCCATCGATCTCCTCACAATACAAATAAATAACTTAATCGATAATACTTAATCGATGATACCGATGAGTATAAAATTTTCTATAAATAAAATTCCGTTATGCTTGTTTAGATTCAGACTATAACGTGAAAGTATTCATAAAAACACTGTGAAACTCCGGGTTGTTCTGGTGATTAAAAGTCATCAGGAAGCTCCGATTTCCTTATCACCGGATTCATGGCAATCGACACTGTTGACACCATTGTCTTGCTGTAATCCTTCGAATAATCTGAAACGAATCATAAAGAATTTACTGATAATGAGAAAACAGAGGGAATGACATAAAACGATTAAAATGTTAGATGTAGATGATGTCAGAGTTGTAACTGAAAAGCAATTTTCGTTTTAATCATTATTAATTATCTCCAACGATTCGATTAATCTTCAGTTATTTTGGTTTTTAATCACAGCACATATTTCAGCAAATTGTTACGGCTCTTATATTTATGTTAATTAAGCGAATAGCGGATTATCACAAAGACAAATGGGTTAATGAATTAATTAACACAAATGGATCAAAGGTACAGCGGTACAATTTTTGATTTGTGGTTTTTATAATTGTCAACTTCTTTTTTTTTGGCTCGTAAACTTGAGTAATTAGTACCTAGCTTCATTCGCCGGTCTATCAAATACATGCTACCGTTGAGATCCGCGTTAGTAGTAAAGTGACAGTCTATTATCTAGCTCGCATCTGGCAGTCCTGAAAAACAGGTTGTGTAAAGAGCCTTTTTATCATTATTAAGATTTCTTTGGTGATTACAACGTTAGACTATTCATTCGTTTAAGGATGTCATCTATTATTTTCAGGTTTCCATTGTTCCTATTTTCTTCTTTGAATCGAGTATTTCCACAGGGAAATCCCGCATCAAAACGAGTGGAGCGAAATATAAACTCTTCTAGCTCCAGTTTCATGAAAAATTCATCGTTAGAATTTGTAAAACTCGAAGAAGAATTCCTTAAAAATCCTGATGGATTGCCCCAGTCCATTCAGGCTCCCAAAAATTTTACTGAATCATTCTTGCATTAAAATCTATTTATGTACCAATTTTCATAACGATCTCGTCGTCCCTTCGATATACGATGAACGATTTTAACGATCGGAGACAGCCCCACCTCATTCTCCCATTCTCTTCAATTATCGTGAATCATTGCAAAAAAATATCCATAAAAATTGACATTGCTCATGAATCTTCTTGAAAGAATGCGCCCATAAAAAAAAACTCCTAGCATCTCTCATAACCGACATAATTCCGCAATTAACCCTGAAGATGACATGAACTATCTGCGGGGTTGAACGGCATTACAAGTCGTTCCTCGCATGACGTCAATGAAATATTTGAATGACTTTCCTCTCGTAACATTTATCAATTAGACTAACAAAATAGTGCTGTGTGAGTACCATGCCAGGCCTGATATCTCAATAAAAACCCAACATTTTTGCCCTTCACTTACGACGCAATAATGAGCCGTGCGCTTCGTATTCATTACGATCAGAGTTTGGTGACCGTAACGATGTGGTTACCTTGGCCATAATTATTTTGTCCTGGGACACTGCTCCCGTGTGGAGTCAATGTTGCACGAATCCTCGAGCAGCTTATCACACCAGCATACGCCTGTCTGTACTGTTTATTCATTATAACGTAAATTATCGGATTGACGCATGACGCAAAGTAGAGGAGTAAGTAACCCATCACGTGAGCCGCTGTAACAATAAAAAATTACGATTATTACATGAGAAAATATTACATTCTCACATTTATCGGTGTGTAAAAGTTGATGGACCCTAATTGTTTGTGGCCCGTAAAAATAAGTTGGGGTAAATTGAGGGGTTGAAAAAAAAAAATATTTCTTACCGGGATATCTTACTTCCGGGTCACTCACTTTGACGATCGTGATTGGCAAGTAGCAGGCAACGAAGCTCAAGAATATCGCTAATACCATTTTTGTTATCCTCCACTCGCTTCGCCGCTGCTTTATCTCTCTTGTATCGCGTCCTGGGGTGTGAGGTGATTTTACAGCTGGACTTGCGTGCTTACGCATTCGTGATTCCGAACTAAGAATAGATAAGTGGAGAGATTGAGTTTGTTGTTCGGTTTACAGTGGCTCATGTGAAATTCATAGTTTGAGGGTGGTTTACATTTGGTTTGGTATGTTTAACAAAATAACATCTTTAACAATAAAACGGACATGTCTGCGGGATTTACGTCCCTCTAATTATTCAAATCGTCCTGGCAAATAATAAAGGGGAAGAAAAACTCCATGATTGCTAATTATCTGAAAAAATGATTTCAATTGTAATTTAAGAAGAAATGGTGTGAAAATAATTAAAATCATTGTGCAAGTCTCGGTAATACTGCATTGTTAATTGTCCACCGTTTTTATTGCTGTTTTTGATGTTGCGATGAATACTGTATGGAAATAGTGCCAGGGGTGTTGTACTAGGACGTGTAAATAGGAAAATATCCAATCACGTAAACGAGCCATTTCGGGAATGGAATTCGTTATTTGTTTGGGGAGCGGAATGATTACCTGTGAACAACCCAAAATATTTTGGCGTAACAGCCAACAATTATTATACAGGGAATCACGAAGCCAGTTACGAAGAGGAAGGTCTTTGAACTCAAACCCCTCGAGTCTTTTACTATTGAGCACGTTTCGAGGTTTCCATCGTAATCAAATTTACCTGAAATAGAGAAGAATAATTGAATAAATGCTAGATAAAGATAGACGGATATTCGAAGAGCCCATTTATTCTCCGAGACTATTGATTCCTCATCAAATTCCAAATTGTTATAATTCAATGAGTCTGATTTTTCTGAATAGATTTGTCATAGATTTGAAATAGTAGGAATTAATTAAAGAATTATAGATAATAGAACATCATCAACATGTTGACAATTCTGTTGACAATTCTAATAATTTATTTAATCATTGATGACGTACCCCAAGCACCAATTAACGTAGGCAACTGCATTGAATAAGAGAACACATAGCAGAACAGTATCATAGCCGCGATCCAATGCTTCTTATAAATCTTGCCATAAAGATTATGATGAGTAATCATAATGTATCGATTGACAGTTATAGCAGCGACACAGAGGAGACTGACCCCGACGTTTCCATATCTGAGGAATGGAACGAGAACACAGAGAAATCTCACATCTGTCCATCCATGATTCACAAATCGAATTGAATCGAATGGTAACACCAGCGCGCAGAAAATAAAATCCGCGAAGCACAGACTGAAAATAAAAAAATTCATGTTATTGACCTTGGAGTTGCTTCAATTGATAACAAGTTTTATGATAAAATTTTGGAGTTTCGTAACTCGATTTAAGTTCCGGAAGCTCTAGCTTTATGCTCGTATCTTGCAGTTTTGTGGACTTTGTGGTAAAAAAAAAAATGGGAAATAGCGTGAGAAAAGAGATTGAGAGTCGTCGACAAATTGAATCAAACGGTTGATGTCTTTGGAGATGTCCAGACCTTATCGTTTTGTGTACGTGGCCTCGAGTGCTCTTGTTAGGGAAGGTATGCTAGGCACGTTTCCTGTCTCATTGTCGGCAGAATAAATCAATCGTATTCAATTGGGCTAAAAAACACTAGGCACCATTTGTGGTACAGTGGGATTAAATGAAATCGGATACAGGAGGGGATATTTCCGGGAGTTTATTTCGGCAATATCTCGGTTAGGGGAAAATTCATGAAAGGACCTTTGTCTTTCACATCCAATGGTTTTTTAGATATTTGCATAATTATGTGCATTTTTTTTTAAGTTATCGCCTTGAAGTATTGGGATTAATTTTAAGATAATATTGGATGGAAATTTTTAACTATCATATAAACGTTTTGATTTTTCGAAAAATAATATTTTTAATAAATTTTTGTCTTTTCTAGTTCTCATCCACGGAAAAATCAAAATTCAAACAACGATATGAAAAACGTAAATTATCATTTGTATTTTATGTGGTTTAAATAATAATAATAATTGATGTTTGGAAACTTGTATTTTGTTATTATTTCTTAATTAATTTCAGAACACTCTAATGAATTATAAAATATTTTCCACGCGAAGAGTGTCTTCAGAATAAAAATGATGTTTTTTATAACTTGAGATGTTTTCGCGTGAAACCAATGTGCAGTATTTTTTTTTCTAATTTTCAATTAGTAGAGCAATAACGAATTACTGAAAAAATCGGTATGGACGCGTAATTACGGAGTGGTCTGCCATTTAAAGAAATTAAGAACTAGAAATTGGTTCCCTCGGGTATTTCTGGGTATATAATGAGTTACATTAGGTCTCATTAAACAACTTTAAGTAAGGCTCATTATCTCAACTAGCGACGAGTTTTGGGCCATAAAATTGGGATTATTCCATAATGAATAAGAAAAGATTAGTTAACATCTCCATTTATGATAATTTTCATTCTGTAAATATTTCTGGAAATGACTGTTGCACCGGGAATTTTTAAATCACCTCCTCAGGAATTTTCAGGCATTTATAAAGAACATAGAAAGAACATAGAAAGAATATAGAAAGAACATAGAAAGAACATAGAAAGAACATAGAAAGAACATAGAAAGAACATAGAAGGATTATAAATATTTGAAATTAATTTTTAATTCAAATTTGATTCGAGAATAATTTGAAAATGATTTTTCAATCCATGGAAACATCGAAATGGGACTAATTTTCCATCGTCTGCACGTTTTTTGTTGTGTTCAATGAATTTATCAGAAATTGATTTTATCAACCTTATGATGAACGCAGCTGCGACATTGCGAACCTTCGGGTACTTGCAGAGAGCAATAATCGTGAGTAAATTTCCCACGAGACCCGTTATCATTATCAGAATAGAAACCACGGCTGCGAACGTCCTCAGAGGCTTTGGAAATCTGTAAAAAAAAATTTTCGTTAGTCCATGAGAATTTTCTTGGTGTTGCTTGAACAATTTTACACCTGTACTGTAATGAACAATTAGTTTTTACTCCCTAGTGGACGAGGGAGGGACCCGAACATTCCGGACAAACCGGAAGAAATTAAAATGTTTATTTCGACGCACTTGGGTCATCCGGATGAGCCGGAGGCCCCCCAACTCGAAACTTTGATAATTTCCGCTGGGAGATAAGCCACTTTAGGTGAATACTCGGATATTGTCTAGAGGTAAATTCCACGTGCTTGCATATTCTCCAAATTATGTAAAAAGACGAATTTTATTCATCGTAATGAAAAATTAACGATTACAATCGAGTTGAAATGTCAAATGTGTGCAATCCGTTTTTATTTACTTTTGAAAAATTCAATGAAAAGTTTTTTAAAACCTGTTTTGCGCTATCCTAGCAACATTACGAATATATTATTAAAAACGATATAATATTGGATATATAAGTATATTTAATATTTCAATTTGATTTAATAAAAAGGAATGAATAAATAATTCAAATGTGAAACGTAAACAATTCATAGTACATTTCGCGACAAGTGCGGAAACGCGATTTTTCGCGTGTGGGAGGTTTACAGCACGAGCTGAAAGCGGGTGGTATAATCCTGCATGCCGAAAATTACTTTCCGCACGAGTTGCGAACAATATTTTTTGTGATAATGCGGGAAAGTCACTTTTTAGGCTTTTAGGAAAAGTTACTTTTCGGCACATCGTGGGTAAAAGAAATTTACGGTATAATATAAGAAATTGATTTTCATATGATTTATCAATGTAATAAATGTCACCTTGATTCCTCCATAATCGTGTGATTGGCTGCCTCGGAAACCCTGGCGAGCCAATGAGTTGATCCATTCTCCATGCCCATCACTGATTCAATCCTAGTCATCCTAGAATTACAATCGGAATTTCCCGGTTTAATAAATTTTCTAATAACCACCATGATCCGCAACATTTCCGGCGGACATATAGCCACAACAGATCCGTAACGCGATAACACAAAAGTTCCTCGAATCCCCTTTTTTTGAATTTGAAAGAAAAAAAATTCTTTCTGTGAAAGCGGACGTGACCTACCAATAAAAATTATCCCCAAGCCCTTATTAATTTTAATTCATATGCTTAATAAGAGGGATCTGACGGCGCCGAAGCAGCTGCACGAAGAGGAATTTCCATTAAAAAGTCATACGACAATTGCCGTAAAAATTACCGGACTGGTCAGTAAGGTTGGAGTATTGGGCCCTAATCTCGAATACTAATGGTCAGTCCAGTAAAATTTCCTAGCTGTCACCTCCGAAAATTCAGTTTTTACAATGGGCCCATGAGAGGACCCAATCATATGCGACCGAAACCCCCGAAGGCGGACGGAATTCGACGAAGTGTGGGATCAATCACTGAAAAAGTTATGAGCAGTCCAGTATAGGGTTTTTCGATCAGCAAGAAGTGATCGATTGTTCGAATCGGATCGGATGACCCACTCAGGATCGTTCTGCATCAGATCGATCCCTCCTGTCTCGATTCATGGAAAATTGATCTTTTTCGGTTTTTCTTCCCGCTCTTTATCGACCCGCGAAAATAGATTTTAAAAATGGAGTATCAAGTCTAAGACAATCTTTAAAAGATCGCTCCTAGATCGATAAGCCCTACTCCAATAAAATTTCCACTGCTTCCACGAATATTTCAGTTACTCACCAGTAAATTCTGAATCATTAAATGAACTTCCGATAAAATTGATGATCACAGTAGTAATTTCATTGCTCTGCGTAGTAAATATTTCGTGGAACTCCCACTGGAGTGCTACGATGATTTTTTATGCATTTCAAATGACTTTTCATCAATACAGTAGCAATGCCCCTGTACTGTTAAAAGACCGGTAATTTTTCGTGAATATTTCTCGCTGTGTGAGATAAACGGAGCCACACACCTATTTGTCCGTTTTGTCTCGGCTACCAGATTAGATTGTCGTATTTATGTGGTAATAAAGTCCCTTGGGTGAATCGCTCGATATGGATAACACAGTGACGCTTTCCCTCAGGCATTCTGTCTCTTGATATGCATCTTAGATACCTCAATGTCTCGGCTTTCATGAGGCATTCACGTCGCAGAAAGAGTTATGAGGCTTCTTATTTTCATTCAAATTTCATCTACTTTTCATTTTCATATAGATGATAATGCATTTTTCAATAACAGTAATTGGAAAAATTCATTTAGTGCGCGTTGACGAGTATTTTCTATACTACTGTTTAAAAAAAATTACACAGACGATGTAATCTCTCATCTTTCAATTACTGGATTTTTCATTTTTCATTTTTCATTTTTCTTGCAGAATTTATTGCAGGGAAAATACAAAGCATGCAATTACCCGAAGGCCTTCAGCCATTTAGTTATTTGTTTTGGAAATCCTAACGATCTCTGAGGATTGTTTACTTCCGTCTCGGTAAATATACAGGTCATTTAAAAAATATGGAAGAGACTAAATATTTTTATAAAAATGTCTGAAATATTTTTATTGAGTTGAATGGAGGAGCGGAAAGGACTGAACTCGAAATTCCAAAAACTCTTCGGGAATTGTCAAATTCACCTGCGACATTGACAATGAAATCTCCTACAATTAAATATAAAATACATTCAAAATCAGTTTATTAATATACTAATTTCAAGTATATAGTCTAGATACATATTTTTATTTCATGGATGTAGCGAATTGCGTGGGTGAAGCGTCAAATGAATAAAATGTCGCCGACGAAGAATTCCGTAAATTACTTCACACGTTTTTCTCGTGCAGAGAAATTAAACGTGAATGTCCCAGCATGTAGAATTAATTCTGGTACTTGTAGAAGTACTCGAATATTTATTAATCAGAGGGTAGAATATTCACCAGTAACGGAAGAGCTATACTACAAGATGTTCTAATCTGAAATTCTAAAATTCAAAAATTCCAAAATTCCAAAATTCCAAAATTTCAAAATGCCAAAATGCCAAAATTCTAAAATTCTAAAATTCTACAATTCTGAAATTTAAAAATTCTGAAATTATAAAATCGAGATTATGCTATCACAATACATAATTATTATTAATATATCCAACTAGGTCATGGCGTCATACGATGTAAACCTGACGATTTTCGAAAAACCCATGAAAAAAATTCTCTCCAAATAAAAAAAAAGTCTTTATAAAAATTCACCCAGTAATTGACATAATCAGCGGAAAATATGGAATAAATTTGATAAATTATTCCAATCCCATGATCCCATGAGTAAAAAATGGAATAAGTGAAACCCAAAATGAAGGGATGCCACTCATATTTAATTGGATAAAGCCGGATCTCGTCTCATAAAAATACAAATAAAATCGAATTTCACATTTACGGGAGAGTCACCGAAGGGGGAGAACATGAGGGTGCATGAGGGTGTTCCTGATCAGGGCAGCCACAGAAGTTCCCCCTCTGGGCATTTCAGATGATCATTCGGCCAATGACCCGGAAATATTAAATCGTCAATGCTTTTCATGCATCCAACAGCGAAAATCGTTGCGCCTTAAATCGTATATAATAATCGCGTGAATTCAGAAGAATTCTGGATAATTTCGGAGTAGGTGTTTTCAGGATGAATTGTCTATCACATTGTTTGTGGCATGGCACCCATGGGGGTGCTGGATTTGTTAAACTGAGGTTAAACAGCTGTGCATTAACCTCCATTAAGCTTAATTAAAGAAAATTAACGAACACCCGGTTCGGCTGGTCTTCCCCTCGTTCGTGTAATGCTGGTGTTAAGGAGAGTATGAAACCGTACGAATTGGAGACCGTATATTTTTTTTATTCGTGCAATTATTTCATTTGGGATAGGATGAATTAATTATTGATGATTTTTGAATTCGCGCTGGGTGGTGCACGGGGAAAATATACTTGAGGTTAATATATTATATTTATTCAGTGCACGATTAAATCGAATGGATATCGATTTTTTAAGTGGAATATAGGATTTATTATATATTGTATATTATATCATTTAGTTTTTGTACTTTTTCCACGAGATGAATCATTAATTGAGACAGAATATTTTGATAATTAAATATTTAACTTCTCGGGATAGGGAAGTCATTTTTTTTATATGAAATTGACAGAGTATGTAAAAGTTATGTAAATAGATTTATATATATTTCATGGATATTTCGGGTGAATTATAGATATATTGAGAGAATATATTGAATTAGCCTTTATTATAGTCCGTTTTGATAATAATTGAATTTTTACGTGGGGATGTAGAAGGAAAGAAATGTATACTTGAATTAAATATAAAGTATTCTTTCAATGAATATATTTATATATTTATTTCAAGTATAATATTTATAATTGATGCACCGATACATTTTTTTCACGAATGAGAATTACATTTCGAGTTGATTTGAGCTATTGGCCAGTTTTTCGGTGATACCTCAGAATCTGAAAGAGATACAAAAATTCGTTAATAACCTTTCTTGTAGAGCTAATGATGGACTTTCAAAAAGGTAATAACAAAAATTTCGGTATGTCTCTCGGATTCCGAGATATATTCACGAAAATCTACCGTTTCGCTACTGAATTCTCTATTTTACATACTAATGTGAGAGAATACATTCCGGAGGTAAAAAAAATAGAATAAAATATCCTCCAATATTCTTTCCTCCAATTACTACTCACGGACATGATTTTCAAACTACGTGAACGATAATTTTATCCATTAAAGTTATTTCAAATAATTCTGGGAATTCGCATCAAAAATTTTCCGGTGACGAATAATATTCTTTCGCGATTAGTCGCGAGACTGTCGATTCACCTCAATCGCTGTCTCGGATTCACCAATGAATGGACACCTTGACGTCACCAAATGACGCTTAATCACCATCAAAGTATCCGCATGAGTCAATTCTTGACTCATATCGTATAAAAACCAAACATCTAAGGTGAAAGTATACAGCGCTCAGGTGTATCGCGAATTACACGTGTGTCTCATAGTATTACTCTCCTGTGCAGCTGTGTCTTATTTATTTTCCAGAATTTATGTCTGAAGGAAGGAAAATACGAATTATTACACATCCGAGGGAGGAACAATAGGAAACAGCAACTAGAACAGCGAAATAACTAAACCCGCATTGGGAGTTCTATCGCATGACGCGGTTTATGGTACCCGGTTGCGGGAAAAAATTGTCACGATTGTGAACACAACTCTTTTTTTTTTTAATTTTGATACGAGTCAGTGACTCATGTGACGAATCGACCTCGGATAACTGTTTTCATAACATGTGTTTATGGAAGTCTTAACATTATTCTCATTCACAATATAATGTTTCCTTCTTTCAACTATTTTATCGTAAATAAATATTCTTTATGGACATTTTTTACATACTATTTATAATAATCATAATTTTTGTTTGGATTGTTTTTGTATAGAAAATCGTACTACAAAAAAGTATTTATGAAGAAATAATTATTTTCCTGTAATTCCAGGATATTTATTAGTAATTAGCTTCGGAGAAAAATTCACTTATTCTAGTTTCTCGTTAATCACAGCGCAATGAAATTACGAGAATAATAAATCGCGGAAGGAATTATTACAAATTCCAGTGAAGACAATAATGAATAGTAAACAGAATCTAGGATTTATATCCAATAATGAAGAGAGGGAAATATAAGAATCAGGGACGTAGAACCAGAAAAATAAAATGTCAACACTTAAAATGAAAATTAAATTTAAAAAAATGAAAAAAAAATCGATTTTCCACCTGCAGCTAATAAAAAACCGCGGGGTATTCGTGATAGATGAAAAATGTCGAAAGTTCAATTCTGACTCACAACAGAATTATTTATTTATTCCTAAGGAATACAGTAGCACGTGACACGAAAAACTTCCGCGTATCAATGACATCACTCTTCACAATAATCATCATGCGTCGAGTACATTGTCATTATCATGTTCATGTACCGAATCCCATTCACTCGATAATACACAACACCCGACCGATCACCAATTGTCCATATACACATCCCTCTCATTTTTATTCTCCCTTTCTTTTTTCATTTTGTTCATAGAAACCAACGGGAAATGAAACGGAACCGCACTGGTTTATTATGGGGTCTGCTGAGGTACAATGAAACGAGGAAATGAAAAAAGATTTTATGGTTGCAGAGGAAAAACGACGGGAAAAGGTACAGAGCAGTTTCCTGTGCTTTCAAGGAGCACATGAAGCTTTATATATTTTTTTGGAGTCGTTACATACAAGTGGACAGTCTCCCTCAAGTTTATGGAACCTAATCCCATTCAAATATTGGTACAGAAAATCGACAAGGGTTCGATACAGAAAATATAAGTGTATTTGACGAGAAAGGGGAGACAATTCATGCGAATTGTATTCGTGGGAAATTTGGGATTTAATGAAGAAATTTATTCCCTCATTTATTGGATGCCTAATGAATGGAAAATTTTTCAGAATTTTTTTCTTTCTTTCGATTCGTCTAGGTTGTAGAATTCCTCGTGAAGTCTCAGAACTATTTGCAGGCAGATCTGCAAATCCTTCTGATGCCACTTCAAATCAATGAACGTGTTTTAATTGGTTTGCCTTGAAGAATTAATGATCTTCATTTGCAATTACCCAACAGCCCAATCAATCAAAACCTCATAAGTTAATTGCGTCAATTACTCGAAATAACCATCGGTCATAAATAAATCTTATCAATACTTGATTGCACGATTACTTTTGTAGCAATCCAAAAGTTTTTTCACGTTATTATCTCCCCTTTGCTCTCCCGATTTCTCCACAAATTCGAGTTCTCAGGAGCCCTAAACCCTGAGGATCGAGCCTTTTCGGCAGAAATGATGAACGATCCTGAGGGCAGCTCCCCCAAGGACACGTGTAAACGTTTAACTGTTAATTTCCGTCATAAAGAATTCAAGTAAAAGTAACAAGTGCAATAAAAAGTTGAATGCTCACTCTCAAATCTCCCAAAATGAAATATCAGCTTTCCCTTTCAAACACTCCACTCAAAACCCTAGATCAATCTCATAATCAACGAACTAAACATCAATTCCAAGACACGAATGTTGCCAATTATTTATTTCAACTGTAATCACGCGTACAGTCGTCACTGATAACACCCATTCATGTTTATCACTGCACGAATTCTTTTGAAACTTCTAAGACGTCGGTGACTTCTGCAAGAATCAAAAGCCGGACTGGAGCCAATAAATTATTCCAAAGAGAGTACATCCGCTCGACTTCGCTGAATCCCATGGAAGTCCTACAAAAAACCAGGAGGAGATATCACTTAACCACCACTTAGTCACTCCATTTAATTTTCAACAGTGGAAAGGAGAAGGGTGACAAAAAAATAAAGGATCTTTCAATCAATGAGTAAACGATTGAACTTCTTGATTGCGTTAATTGTTCAATTATCCACCGGTTGAGGTGTTTCTTTTTCTTTTTTTTTTTTTCAAATTTGTAATTTTATTTGGGATGGGATGGATCTTTGGCCGCTCTCGGCAAGTGTCACCGTTCGACTGCTACGAGAAACATTCAGCTCTGTCAAACGTAAAGTGGGAATACGAACAGTTGTTATGGTGGGGCACCCGAGAATGACAAAACGCACCCACGAGCCGGCCTTTGTGGAATAAGGCAACCCGAGGACGAACAACCCCCAGGAGTACCCCCTGTAATGGCCAGAAAAAAAACACCGGGGGAATTTTTTTTTTGAGAACGCATCTAGTGGAGATGAGCTTTGGTTTATTGCCAGGTGTGGAGACTATTTTTGCACCTGGATTTATTGCTTACCGTTTCTGGCATTTCAAGGATTTTATTGGTTTATATTCAGCCAGTCGTTTTATCGTGGCTTAATTCTCATCGTCCTTCTTCTAGTTTTTTATTATTTACACTGATTTTTTCATTGTTTATCGATATTTTTGAGAAGGTCCGAGGACTACGTCTTTTTGAGATGCGTGAATGGGCGATGACCTGTGAGAAAATATTTTTTATAGATTTTATTCAACTTAATAGAAGAAAAAATTAAATGAAATTTAATTAAGAAATAACAGCGACAGATATGATTGTGAGAAATTAACAATGGAAATGGTCTGAATGACAATTTAAATTATTTATTTATTTTTAAGGAACACGTAGTCATATGTTCTTCCTTATTAACACCAGTTAGATTATTTATCGATGTTTTTAAAAATGTGATTGAGTCTTAAGAGAATGACAAAAAGACAGAAATATAGAAATTTGATGCTTTTTCTCGAGATACGCGTCAAAATAAAATGACATATGGGAAAAAGTTCTTTGTAGATTTTATAGGGGTACATATTCATAGATTTTTGACCGTATGTCTATACATATTCGTCCCCATTTTATTTTTGAATTGGAGATAGGAATGATTGAGAGGTGAAGAGATCACAAACTGGGTGAATATGGATATTTTGTCGTCGGATGGATATTGTTGTTGAATATTTGAATGGAAAATCCGTTTTTCGATAGAAATAGCAGAAATATTTGTTATTCCCTGCTGAAGTCAGCGTGAAGTTCAATTCTGATGAATGAGGATTTTATTTTACACACGTCGTACACTCTAAAAATGGATTACTTTTGAAACTACTTGGGGAGTAAGATGTGTGTGCTTCGAAAAGTCCTTCACCTAACTGAAGAGTAATAAAAATACTGCTGAAATGTACACCTATTATTTCTCATCAGCATTTTAACTTTTTGAAAATTCCTTCGATATTTTTGAGGAGTACTTTTACTGTTCGCAAGTATGTCCGTAATTTAATTCCTTACTTGATGTATCTATTCCATAATTTTGACTTATAATTTTGTAGGTGGGGCGGGGAGGGGCGGTATATTCAAAAAATATACGGCACATTCAACAAAAGTTGAAATTTCCAAAAGCTTTTAATAGTATCAATATTTCTATTGGCTAATTTCATTTATTTTGTAATAACATTTTTAATAACATCGCCCTGAATATCATGAATTTTTATGTTCAGTTCTCTTCTCCCTCCTGAAAAACACAAAATATATTTTTATTATTGTAAATAAAATGAACATTTTCCTTTTGCTGATGGTGATTATGATAGTGGTATTTTTGAAACTTCGAGTAAAATACTGAGTCTCAGTAATTTGCCGATTTTTCATAAGTAACGGAGTCACTGGAATAAAAGATTTCAAAAGAGAAAATATCTCAACTGACGAGAAGTCCATTTTTAGAGTACGGTTCCTCTCATTCAAGATAATTTAGTATAATATAAAAAAATATACTATCCGACCTCGAGTAATTTCCCTCCACCCGTTGAACAAAATGCAATTATTTTTAAAAAGGATGTAGGGGATACAGCATCAACAGTCAGCCCACATGTTGTATCAGTGGGCCAGGTTTATACCGCGCACTTCCACAAGCCCCTCAACCCTTTTTTTTTGCGTAAATACAATGGTCTGCGTAGGAAAATCATTGACTGACACACACGAATATCTGCTTGGGCTGGTTTAGAATAATACGCGTGTGTGGATGAAAAAAATGAGATTGAGAAACTGATTCCCCTACTTGTCGCGGTGGTAATACACGTTATTAAAAACCTACGCAGATTGAGAGTACAGTAGGTGGTTGCGGTGGCCCTAATTTTTCATACTGACGAGTGAAATCTAGGATGACACCTTGAAGAATCATTAATGGCCACTGATTATTTCCGGTTTTACCCAATCTCAACAGATTTTCGTCGTTAAAACTGGACAACAGCTCATACAACAATTTTATGAATTTTCTGACAAATTGTTGGTCGAATTGACACGAATAATTGCATAGATTTCCATTTTACCACTTCCCAGAGGTCGTGATCGTGCGATAATTGTCCTGCGTTTGTTAAAACTCTTCAAAAATTTATTATTCATTAATTTTCTGATTAATAAATTATGGTATTGGCGGAATGAATGGAGATGATAATACTCGAGAGATGATAATCAATAACATGAGTATTGTGGAATCAGAACGAGAAGACAAATGGCTTGATGAAGTTTTTCTAACTAAAGTTTTTCAAACATTGCCCTGATTTATAACTTTCGTATAAGCTGGCGATACAAGTACCCGGTGCGGTATACGATAATTTATTTCCCAGCCGATGATTGACGATGGACTTGCCTTCAAGAGAAATGATCAGCAACTTGATTGCACAAAGGTCGATGGTTAATGATGAAGTGTCTCGAGTAATTGAGACTCAAAGAGGAACGAGCCCATCATAGACTCCAAAATTCAAACACAATATCTCAGAAAAAAATACCCATAACCATAATTTCAATATGGCAAATTGTGTTAATAATTATTATTAGTCTACAAATTCTTCTGTAATTTACGTAATGAAATGGTGAAAATGGATGAAAGTGCAGTTGAAAGATGTAGAATAGAGGGGAAAATGTGAAATATAAGTTTTCACTTTTCTCTTGAATTTTTCACGGGAAAAGGCGTTGACCCTTTAAGAGGATATATTCATGAAAGAATCGTACATTCTGCTGAGTAGTCGAGATTGAATGAAAGTGAAGAGGATGAAAATTTTGAGAAATAAACTAAAATGCAATGGGACACCCGTTGGCCACGTGTGCACGTATGTCTTCCCATGATACCAGCACCGCTGTATTTGATCATAAAAGTTTCAACATGTGTTTTCACTGGTTCTCTCGTTTTTTCGTCATCTCTGGGTGTAGCACATGCGACACCTCTTTTACGCCTTTTTACTACGATCCCTTAGGGTCAATGGTTTGTTTGCTCTGTCTGCTCAGTTTACTGTTCTTATAAAATCTTGTATTAATTTATTCGTGGCATTACATCAAACGAATGTCGAGAGAACTTCGAGGAAGACTAAAATAATAAATCCTGGGATTACGAATGGTCTACACTCTTTCCCCCAAAATTCACGGTTTTTTTTTTATTTTGCTGGTGAATTTATTATGGAATGGACGTGGATAAATATAACGTCCCGGCGATTTGTCATTAAACAATTACAAAAATGGAAAAATATTCGATTTTTTTCGTGTGAATCCCATCGATTTCTTCAGTTTCATTATTTATTTATTTATTTATTTATGTATTTATTATTTAAGATGAGGATGATATGAATCTTTGATAAATATCTGTTGTAGGTGGTGATAATTTGTTTTCTATCTAGTTTTTACGTGAAAAAATGAAAGTGAAAATGAGTTTTAATGAAAAACGGAAGTTGCGATTTTGAAATTTATGGTAATAGGGGTCGACGTTATCGACGGAGCTTTATGAATATTTGATTCGTGTTGATATGGACTATTTTTTGTTTACGAAGTTATGAAAAAATGGGAGAAACTTCGGGGCGTTTATTTCTCCGTATGTACACAAAACATAAAATAGAGGGGATGTGGAGTAGCGAGTACATAAGGCGGAGCTGCTGATGACGCGATCAATTCGCGGGGAAGGCACGATTTGCGACTGCCAGACGACCGAGTAAACTTCCTTGGAGACGATCCGAGTAAAGAACAATGTACATTGTCACAAGGATAAGTACTGAGTAATCGGTGAATTAGAGTTACATAGAAATCGGTATTCATTTTTAGCGTTTTACGCAATTTTGGAATTATGTTAGGTTTTGACAGTCGCATCTCCGGAAATTTAACGGTTTCTGACAAATTGTTGCTTGGATTGGCGTAAATAAATATCCCATTTTCCGATTTTATCATAATTTAATTCCCGGGGAAATGTCATGATCGTGGAATAATTCACCAACGCCTTTTAAAAAATTCTGCTTTTTCTTTTTTAACAATTACAACTTTTTCAACTTTTTCAAACATTCATAAAACTCGAAATACCACCGGAAATCATTGCACCCTCATGAAACTTCCTGAAATCATCCCCATCATATATAATTTTTCCATTAAAAGAAAACTGTTTGAAAAATCGAAATAAAATTTGTTTAAATCAAAAATAAAAATGTGTAATTTCAGAATAAACTTTTTGATTTAAGACGCAATGTTAAATATAATATTACGTCTTAAATCAAGAAGTATATTCTGAAATTAAACATTTTTATTTTTGATTTAAACAAATTTTATTTCGATTTTTCAAACAATTTTTTTTTAATGGAAAAAATTCAGGGGATAATTTTCACCAAGAATTTTCTTATTTTCTCTGCGATGCTCTCCGGTGTAAAATCAGTATTTGAATCATTTATTGTTACATGAGAGGACAAGGTATACACAGGTATATACTCTCCTCCCCTATAATATGAAGAGAAGAGTACACGTAGGTAAATATTGATCATCATGACATGTGGTGAGACCAGCAAGGTGTTTATATAGAATAGATATAGATTGAAGTATATACATTTGATAGCATGATTCATGCCCTGGAAGGGAATATATTTCCAGAGGATTGAAGGAAAGAGTTATGTCGTACATTGGCACGGTGTGTTATCTCTATAGAACTTATTTTTTATCATTTGCTCGAATATATCTAAAATTACTAGAAATACCTTAACTTTTTGCGAAAACTGACAGAAGAACCGCAAGAGAATAAATCGAGGGATTGCATACCAAAAAATTAGAGTGAAATTATCATAATTAATCTCTATTAATTTACACCAGATAATGGAGATAATTAAAAAAATTATGATGCAGCAATTTGTTTGTTTTAAATTTTTTTGGAAAATATATAAGGGATTTAAAAACATGTTCAAATATTTGTTGACGATTAAAAAATGGAAAATTGTGGAATGCCAATACGCCTTTAAGAGAGAAATTTGTTGAAAGGTGTTATGACGTTTGAACCATGGAAAATCATATTTTACCTCTTTTTGATTTCTGTTTATTTTTTAAATAGATGATAGACACAAAGAGATCAACTTGGCGCAGGCGTCATGGGATTTGCTTTCGCCTCAGCATCATTGGAGTTTTCTTCATCTGGTTTTCCCTCCGCAATTCAGTCGAGCCGCAAAGCTTGCGCGAAACGTCTCGTCGAAGACCTTTTACCATCTCCAGAGAATTCCATCACCGACAACATAAATGTCTTCGACTTCCTGGATAAGAATGTAAAGAAATGCTCCAGTGGTCCACGCTCAATTGAATTCAATTGAACAGCAAAATTTAATCATAATTAAATTCGCAAACCCACGAGACATTAATTCAAGTTATAGTTGTAGTTTCACTGTGGATCATAAACTCCAGTGATGCATCTCCAGAATGTTGCCTCCAGGACTGTGACACGCGAGTTGCTCATTCAGCTGGTGTGTATCTCTGTGAATTCTCCGATGTGTGCCACGGCTTTCTGTCAAGAAGCATATGTACTGGATCGTAATGATAGTGATATGCAACACACCTACTCCATCCAACGTTGAATCATCTTAGAGAGCGCAAGTTATTCCTCGCCTCGAGGTAATTTTTCTCTTCAAATTCTATGTACCAGAGAAAAATGACACGTGATTAGAGAAAATGTTGAGGATTATTTTAGTTCCGTCATTAGAATGGTATCATGAAATATTCAAAAGTAGGCAACACTACGTTAAAAATATACAGCAGTCACGCACTTGTTACTGATTTACATTTCATGATCTTTATCGAAGCTTTATTCTCACTTGCGAAGGTTTCTCGGCATGCGTGTCAATTTCTCGTACAAGGTGCTCCGGAATTTTAGGGAAGGAGACAGTGATTATTACCAGAATTTTTTAGGGAAACTCGGACAGAGATTTCGTAACTTGATTGAATTTCCTATGAAACTGGAATAATATTTTTTACATTTTCCTGTACTTTTTCTGATTTCGGAATTATTACAGAGAAATTTTATTGGAAAATTAGCTGTTCTCGTTATTTTTGGATTATTTGCATGGAAAACAGTGAAATAATTTTTTTTTTCATCACAAGATTGTTAAATAAATTTTCTATACTAAATTAATTTGAATGAATACTCATTGTTTTCTTGTTCAATTTTAAGAGACATAATTTTTATTTTTGTTTAATAATTATTAAAAAATTGAAGAAATCGAAAAAATTGAAAAATTGAGAAATTTATCATTTGATGTTATCGCGATAAATTATTGCAAAACTTTATTGAAAATTAAAAAAAAAGGCGTACGACTATAAAAATTAGTGAGTCATTGAATAATGATAGAACCTAAGAACTTTATATTTTTTTACGTCAATCTGATCGAGGGCTTCCCAGAAATTTCCAAAAAACCTGAAAAACTCGAAGATATCGACAATATTTTGTTGAATAAGTTATAAAAATTATAGCTAATGGACAAAATAAAAGACAAAGAAAAGACATTGAATATTTATGAAAAGGTACTTCGATAGGGTCGTGAACTACAGGACATCCACCTTATACTAAACCTTTTCTTCTCAAGTCATCTGTTTTTTCCCAACAGCATTTAGATTCCACTCCATTGAAAGATGAATAAGAAATGTGGAAGAATATAAAAAAAAAGCGTAACGGAAAGAAAGGAAAGGCATTAGTAAATCGCACCTCATTTCATACTTCTTTATCTCCATATTTTTAGTCCATTTTTTTTTATTCCGTGGAAAAAAGTAATGGAACAACTTTCAGCGCAACTCCGTGAAACCTCGAGGAAAATAAAAAATCGCCCGAGTTTACACGTCAGGGCCGAAAAAGTTTATTATGATGAGCAAAATCGAGAATACTCACCAATATGTAGACGCATGTATTGAGATTGTATATACTCCCACAACCAATTGAGAGAACAACTCTTGGATAATTTCCGTTAACGAGACTGCTCTTTCCTCCCTTGTTCGTGATAGATGAAAAGACCAGATGAAAGAAATAACCGTTGGAAATGTTGCGATTCAATCGACTCGAAGTCGTATCGATTCATTTGTTCAGTAATTTCTACTCGGATTAGGAAATTCGGGGTAATCGTGTGCTTTTCATTCACTTTCAATTGCTCGATTGAAATTAAAAATGGGGATTCAAGATATTTCATTTAGAAAATTATTCAGAATATAGATTGAAAGGACGATCGGAGATTCCGACGATTTGGAATTTTTTATTGTACGAGTGTGCTTTTAATTTTTATTTCAATTTCAAGTATTCGCTGGATTTCTGACTTCTAAAAATTCCGCAAAATTAGGTTCATCGTGTTAAATCATAATTGAATTTTAATTATACAATTATTGAAATATGATTGAAATTTATTGTTTGAATTTTCCCCATTTTCAGAAAAATTCCCCGGAAATTTCATTTTCCTCAATTCCCTTCTTTCCATACAATTTCAAGTTCAAATTTTCAATTTTCCATGCATCTACAATAAAATATAATAAATTCAAATATAAATTGTCATCTAAAATTTTTCGCCGTGAAATCTCTCCAAAAAATCTCTGAGCACCCGAATGTTTAATCCCTCAATTTAAAACCTCGCCTCACGTGACATAATTTCTCATCCGACTTACGATTAAATTTCCCTGTTTTCCCAATTACATTAATTGCAGCACTTACTTCGGATAACTTTCTGAGTAAAGGGAACAGTTCTTAAATCAACACGACTTTCTCAATTGAAGAAAATTCTTTTCCCTGCGATTAAACGCGGATGAATATCTTTCAATTAGGAATCCTATAAAAGTGATTATCTTTTTTGGATCATGGAGGGGGTTTTCCTCCTCTTTCTTATTCATCTTCCTCGGAGAAGCGGAAGAGAAACTAAGGAAAGAGGAATAAAACCCACGGAGGATTTCGATAATATGAGGTGGTACATTCCTGGTGTCTTCCCTCATCGTTTTCACGATCGAGTCCCGCCGGAACCCATCAATAGGCTCACTGCCCTCCAATAATACCTTTTCCACATCCTTATCCCCGTTTTGGCACATATTTCATCTGCAAATTCCCCGTCTCCTCCCCGATTCCTCTAAATGCGTGATAAATGTTTGCACGCGCGTTATATCTTTTGGCCTTTGCAAATATCGAGAGCATCAATTTATTGAATGACAGGAAGTGGAATCGTCTGTTGGGAATTTCAACTAATCGCTGATAACTTGTTATAACTGACTGAATTTACACATTTGGTGCAAAAACCCAATTGTATTATTGTCTACACAAAAAATGTGAGCCAATATTACCAAAATTATCGAATTAGCTGAAATTCATTTGAATATAATTAATTCATTAGAATTATGTTGAAATTAAATTAGTTTTTCGAATTTACTGACTATTTGTTAATCGGATTAAGCCGATAGAATATATTGTTTATGTATTTACAATTTTTTGAAGAGTTTCTAGAAAGGACGCAATTATTGCACCATCAAGAAATTTTCGAAGTCATCAAATAATGATAAAATCCGAAAACGGTATATTTTTTAATAATTGTTTTGCAGTCAAGATGAATAAAGAAATGAAAATACAATTTCACTTTTAATTTCTTTATTTGTTGTGTATTTTATTTCCCCACGGCCGTTAATTAATTCCATCAAAATATCTCTTTAGTCTCATTATTCACCTTTTTAATCTCGTGATTAACGACTTTGAAATCGTAATTTTCATTTTCAATCTCGTAATTCAAGCGCCGTCATTTACGAAGGGATTATTCATTACGATAATTCATTATGTTAATTCTGAAGATTCCTTTGAAATTTATTTGAGTAATCTACTTAATTTTCATTGAAGATGCTGGAGTATTGGATGGCGATCAACGATACGGAGACAAATGAGAGTGTCTTTGAACTTGACGAGGTCCTAGAAGACCCCGGTTCGGCAGCCCTCTTCGACGGCTATCCACCCTGGCTCCTCTATTTTGCTGCTGGGTGCTGTCTCCTCTTCATGCTCATTGGTATCCCGGGCAATCTCATTACGGTTGCTGCACTCTTTCGGACTAAGAAGGTAAAACTTCTGATAAATCTTTACCTCTAGTTCTCTTTCATCATAAATCTACCTCATGGCAATAATTTGTTTTTTAATTTTACGCACTAGTTCGGAAAGTGTCAGTTGACTCAGAGTGACAACAATTTTTAAAATAAAAAACATGATCGAATTAAATTTATCATCCAATTTATGATTCAGTAGTGCAGTGGAAAATTGCGATAAGCGCATTTTTTCAAGGCCAGTTTTTAGCTAATATCTCGGAATTAATGAAACATAATGAATTTTTTATCTGAACATTTTTTATAGAAGAGGATGAGAGCTACAAAAAAGGTCATTATGAAAAAATCATTATCCTTGTAATCTCTGAGCTTGGAATAGTATTATTTACATCATAACATGTTTATTTTTTGCTGGAGTTTTTGCAAAAATTTTTTCGTAATGATTCCGAGGTTTCTGATCCTTTGTGGATTAAGGAAGGAATAAACACGCGTCAGGCTGAGATTTCCATGGAAAGAAAGAGATTCTGCTTGCTTTGAATGACTGAGTGCTCAGAAAACGCTGTGTAATGCAAAGTTACTGGAGAAAATTAATGAAGAGGGGAAGGCACTGTGGGGAATGTCAAAGTTATTTATCGGAAATGTTATCTATATGAATTTTACCCCTCCGATTAATTTCGCTTAGGATAAAATAAGTGCTGGAACCTTTCCAAGTACTGTTTAATGCATATTTAATTTTGTCGTTACTGAAGAAGAACAGGGAATGTATCAAATTTATCTGAAATTAGACTTGGGGACTTCAAACAAAGTTTCCGCGAATTTTTGGGGTAGAATCGCAATTAATGAGTTTTGGAAGTGTTACTCACTTTTAGAAGGGGCTCAGAGGAAATATTTCTGTTCAAGTTCCTGCGATTAATTTGCCACTGAGATATCCAATTATTTATTATAATATTCTCCGAACATTTACGTTCTGTTTTCAGTAAAAAAAACATGAATTTGTAATGAAGATTTGGTAATTATATTCGGTATTGAATCTTGCAGAAATTGCAATCAATTCGAAAGATAAATTATTCTAAATAATAAATAAATTAAAGGACCATTTAACTGGATCGAGATAAAATCATTCCACTTGTTTTCCAGATAAATTGCAAAAATATTTCCGAGTACATTTCATGCATTTAAAATGTAATTTTTAAATATTAAAACAATAATGCACCGAGCCAATTCAGAGAATGATACGATACGGTTGAACTTCATGTAGTAGGAAATGAATTTTTCCTGGCGTGGGAAGCTAAAATAATTGAAATTCAACGGTCGATACTGAATCAATTATTTTAACTCCCTATGGAATACCACGCCGATCTAAAAATATACAATGTCTGCTAAAATAAAGAAGATAACACCAGAAATAAATTAATTCACAAATGATAGAAATGAGAACGAGTGGTGAATAAACGAGGCCAATTTTGCGAGTTACACACCCATTAATAACTTAACGTTTCCCATAATCATATTCTCGTCTCTCCAGGGGACATTAAGGTACGCAAATGGCACTCGGCAAAATGATTATTGCCGTATAACGGAATAGAATGGGCGTAACCTCGTCATTGCATATAACTTTTGCCAGACTAATTAATTGAACCACTCGAACGGTACCACTTGCATAAAACAAATAATTGGTTAATTGCGTTATTTATCGTTTTTGTCGGTGTAAGATTCTAGTTCTGGATATTATTTTTTTTATATTCGGATTAGGAAGGAACACAGGAGAGGACCAAGTGAATCTAGATGACCTCATTCGTGGGCTATTACCTCCCCGGTTTCACTCTTATGCCTTTCGGGGAATCGTTGTCTCAAGAAATTGGTCACCATTTTTTGAAATTCTGGGTTTCTGCATCTTCTTTCTTTCATTATCCCCTTCCTTCTTTCCTTGAATTTCTTCATTCATTCAGGAATTTAAAAGAAAAACGATTGATTCCAGAGAAGAACTATTTTCTCAGATATTCAAATAATTATCTTGTACATCCATTAGAGGTAATATTCATCACTAATCAATTTTAAATTATAAATTGAATTAAAAATGAAATTAGTTAATCAATTTTTTGTTGAAGTTTGTATGAGAAAATTCCGTAGCAGAATTTGAAAATTTTCCATCTTCGAATTTCTTCTAAAATTATTCCAACATTTTTTCAAATATTGAAAGAAGTGAATTAGTTCAATAATTTCATTGATTAATGAATTTTTAATTAAAAAATTCACATCGAAAAAACCCGACACCTGAAAAACCCTGAGTCTCTCAAATCCATGCAAATCCCCTGAACCCCTCCGACGATCTACCCTCTCTTCAAAAACCCGAAACATCGAATAACTCGAAGGTTCCCCCGAAAAATCAAATCAACCAAAACAAAACCCAAAGAAAAAAGAAATAGCGTAGCAAGATTGGATGGGTATCAAATGTAACGTAATTTTTAGCAGTACCATTGCTGAGTGTTTCACGGTTGTTCCTCCCCCGGAGCGATTTTTCCTTTCCCTCAAAAGAATAAAGAAGAAGACTGTAAGAACTGAAGGAGAAAACGAAAGGAGGAGAGAAACGGCGAGAAATGGTCATAGAGTTAACCGCATTTCACTGGGAAACCCGTCTGGGAATACTTGCCGTTCCTGAGGTTTCCTTTTTTTTCGGAAGTACATGAAGTTATTTAAACCCTTCATGGCCATTTCCATCGTCAATTTCACTCTCTTGGAGGAGTCTGCAATGCACACTTGGGGGAAAATCTAGAGAGGTTGTACGTGCGAGGTGGTGCACCGGGTGCTTCAGCCCAACTGACGTTTGATGAGTTGCATTGTCGGAGGGATTTCACCAGGACTAGAGCTCTGAACCTCGGAATGGTGTACTCTACTTGAGGATACCATTTTGGATTAAATGAGTATTTAAGTCTTTGAGTTAAGTGGAGGAAAAATGGTAGGGGCGGTGGTAGTGCGATGGCTCTGGATAATTGGGTTAATTGTGAAGGTAGGAGTTATCCCCGTTATCCCGTTATCTCTAGGCAGTTTTCCTAAGGAATTACGATTTTTGGCGTAATGGGTGGGGAAATGGGATGGAGTAATTCATATTTAATGACTTTTCTTTGTGAAACTTTTCCCACGGAATTTTTTTGACAGCTTCCACATATTTTGCTCATTGATTTGTCCGCATTTTCTTCAATTTTCATAAATAAATTAGTGGATTGGAAAATTCATGAAAAAATTCATGAGGGGAAAATTGCGTCGTGGAAAATCGGTAAATGAACTTGAATTTTTACGGGATGTTGCAGAAAAATTTCGCGTTAATTTTGTTATTTTGAAAGTGTGACTTATATTTTTGGCAATTTTATTTGTAATCACTCGTTTTCAGTGTGAATTCTTGGAATATTTAAACAATGGACAATAATTTCCATTGAATTATCTAATAATTGAGAAAACTAGTGTCCGAAATTTTACCAAAAATATAGATAAATGTCATGTTCATTTAATTTAAAAAAAAATTTGAAGTTATTCGGATTGAAATTCCGAAAATAATTCTCTAAAAGTGTCACAGAATCCCTTGATCTCTCACAGTTGAGAGGACTTGTTAAAAACAATCATTTGCAGAGAAGTTAACTCATCCTATTTTACCACTTCGTAACAGAATTCTGATTAGACTTAACTTGATTCATTTAGCGAACATGGTCCGCTGAAACTGTATAATACAATTAGGGAATTCCACTAGTGCACTTCAACATTCAGTTTTATTATGATACCCAGAGAACATGTATTCAAGAAGCAAAAGGACTTAAAAAGGAATTAATCACGGATGTGAATTGGAATATTCTGACGACAAATGATGAGTTTCTTCGATAACTCTTTTAACTTTATGGGTAATTGACGTCCGGTAAATTTGAAACTGCAAGTTTTCAATTAATTAACAATCTCAGATGGAAATGAACTGGTAAACTTGGGAAATCTATGAATTCTCCATGATTGATTGAGAATTATTGTCAGAGTGAAATCCGGATAATCAAATTAAATCAGTTCCTCAAATTACCACATTCATCGAATCACTGAATTCAAGGAGAAGTGTCCTCTCGATATTTTAAATTTCGAGTTTTTCACAAATTTCTGAGAAGCGGTTGATAAAATTGACGTGCAAAATTATAATATTATTCAACCTCTCAATTTTCGCAGAAATTTCGAGATCTCTCGGAAAAGTTGATGAAAAAAAAACACATGCCTATAAAAATTTGTGATTAACTAAATAATGATAAAACCTAAAAATGGTTCATTTTTCCGTGAAACTCAGACATAATTTCCCTGAAATTTCCAAAAAGAAAACACGAAAAATGAGAAGATAACGGCAATAATTCCTCAAGTCCCACGATTTCACAGAATTTTCCCCGCCATCGAGTAAATTCCTCTTTTAAAACATGACTATTGAATTTATTTTTCGTTAGTTAATGTTAAAACGAAATTAGGAAGGAAATAATCACAAATGGAATGCGTAATTGAGTTGGCCGAATAGTGTAACAAAGTGTGAGGATTTTAATTGAGGGGGTTTCCGGAAAAGCTTCGGTGAACACCAAGCTGTCTGCTACTTTGCCCTCGTAATTAAGTTCCGAGAGTACTTTCACGGCTCGACTTTAATGCCTCGTTTTAAATGCATTGCACGAGGGAAGACCATGACTACCCCCGATAAACAAATAAGGATCATCTCTGTACGAAAAAAATGATTACCCTGTTTTATTGATTTTCCAACAGTGATCGTAAAAATTGAAATAAAAACTTTGAAAATTTATCATTTTTTTAATGCAACGTTTATCACTGTTGTTTGTTCTACAGAGGTGCGATAAAGTGAACGATTCGTTACACTTTATTACTCTCGGTGGGTGTATCTAGCTCATGTGGGTTTCTGTACAGTTAGGTGGAAATTGGAAGTGAATAAGATTGAGAATAATTTGGTATCTGGAGAGTCGTAAGTAACGTATTGAGTTACTCTACTTTTTTTTTGTG